TAGTACAGTAGTTCAAAACAGCTGGCCTCTGGGAAATGAGACTCCCCTAGCATGAATTATTAAAGCTCAAAGAGACTGTTCAGAAAAGTCAACATTAACCAGTGCATGGGGAAGGAGTCATCTCCTGGAGAGCACCCTTAGGTCCCTTGGAAATGCCTCACATCTGGCAGAATATGCTCAAAGCAATGGGTTTCTGATGGATGAAATGCAGAGACGCACAGATGCTGTGTCCCCAGGGCTCCCTCTTCATTTAGCCATTGGCTTTCAGTCCAACTGATCATAACAGTGTTGGTTTGGAATAATAAAGAGCAAGGAAGAGATACAGTGATGGCTTCCTTTCTCTGAAGTCACTCATACGCTCTATGTGGCCAACATCTGGCTATCAGAAGCTGGTAGCTATGGGAGAATGTGAGTTTGACCCTTCCTAATTTTATTCAATCTTATGACTAGAACCCCTCCTTTACCATAGATAACCTGTATGCCTCTTCCAGGTATTAACGAATGCTCCATGAACAACGGTGGTTGCTCACACATATGCAAAGACTTGAAGATAGGCTATGAATGTGAATGCCCTCCTGGATACAAGCTTCTGGACAAAAAAACGTGTGGAGGTAATTTACATGCAAACAGCAGTCCCTTGTGTTTCCCTATACAGAGACATGATTATATGCACTTCAGCACTGCTCCATCACAGATGGTTTGATTTCAAGTTATTGATGGGTTTCAAACACTCCTTTCAGACATAGATGAATGTGAGAATCCAGACGCTTGTAGCCAGATCTGCATTAATTACAAGGGGGACTACAAATGTGAGTGCTACGAGGGATACGAGATGGACACCCTGTCCAAGAACTGCAAAGCTGTAGGTAAGGCAGCCTGACAGGCTCTTAAACTCTGCTCAACATCACAACTCTAATAAGAAGACACAATTGCAGGGCTGAGCCTAGGGGAACAGAGGCAAAAGTTAACTAGCAAGCAAAGGCATTAATTTCAAGCAGCATGGAACTGCTGCAGTGATAGCAGATGTATCTCTAGGCAAGAACTACTGATAGTGCAGATCAGAATATTTTAACCATGTACAGAGCAAGATTATGATCACCAGTTGGCTGTTTGAAGCTGAAACTCGAAAAGAAAGGCTCTTGACAGGTTTCACTAAAAACAACACAGAAAAAAATATTTACTGGTAGTCACATTAAAAGAAAACAACCCAATTAAAACATGGCATGGTAGGTTATCACCTCTCCACCTACCCAGCCTCATTACAAATCCCAGCGTGAACACCAGCAGCTTGCTTGGTCTTACTACAAAAATTAAAGTTAATGTTCTGAAAGGCTGTGGCCTGGGCTGGCCTGAGAACATGACTGCTGTTACAGTTTGACCAGCACCCAGGCTGCAGACTCGAGCCCACAAAGAAGAGATGTGAGCTGTGTTAGCCCAAGCGCTTGGTTGGGTGGTGCAAGGTGTGCATGTATGTGACAGCCTAAAATGCCTTCCTAGCAATGAGTTCCTGGCTTTGCTGGATTCAATGTGGCTCTGCCATGCCTTGGTCTGGCTGCTTGCCTTCCCTCCAGCCAGCCTGGAAGGCTTTCTCTCTTCCTTGTCCTGACCATGAATCACCGAAACCCAGCCCCTGGATTTTGTATCTAAAATGTATAATTGAATGTGGGGACATTCCCCAGAGGCTGGGTGACAGGGGTGCTGTACCCCCTGTCTATTTGTGTTAGCTGTCTACATTTGGCCAGAAGCCACTTAGACCTGCTGCTGGCACAAAGCAGGTCCGTGACTTACTGCTCTTCACTTTGTTGTTGTTTGAGGAGATGGTGTATCCAGCCTTTAGGTCAGCTGCTATAACAAATGCACTTTTTTCTGTGTCAGGAAAGAGTCCCTACCTGATCTTCACCAACCGCCACGAGGTCCGTAAGATAGACCTGGTGAAAAGGGACTACTCTCGCATCATTCCCATGCTGAAAAATGTCGTGGCACTGGATGTGGAGGTGGCAACAAACAGAATATATTGGTGTGATTTGTTCTACCGAAAAATCTACAGGTAAGGGTTAATAGAGAATGTATGTTTTGGTACCTTTCTAAAGCTGTGCTTCAGTTTGTAAGGATGATATGCAGAGAACAATGCAGGAAGCAGTGAACCTGGGAGCTTTTCTTCCCTTACTGAATTACCTGTTGTGGCCCAGACTTTGTAAGCTTTTTAGGAATTGATCAAGAAGTCAGGGGCTTGTGCAGTTACTTGGCTTGAAAATGCAAGAAGGTTTTTCATCAGTAATAGATCCCACTGCATTTGTGCAATTACACATGGACTCTTGTTTACTTAATGATCATATTGCTAAGTGAGGCTGCTGCTGTGCTTCCTATACATGAAACCACAAGGGACTTGGCATCTGAAGGCACAGAGGCAAGTGGTGGAAGCAAGGATACTGACCGACCACTGGAGGCTCTGCTAGACTAGATGAAAATCCACAGCACTTGACCACAGACTACATTTCATATTCTGTAATTTGTTTTCCTTTTTCAGCTGTTTTTATCCATTCATCACCATTATTATGTACTGGAGCTTGTAAGAGTGTCTAGTAAAAAATGTATTTAATTTATGCTCTGAAAATTCCCCATGTATATTCTGATTTGTATAGCTATTGCACCCTATTGCAGCTTCAGCAGCAATTTGTTTTGGATTTTAGCTAATGATCAGACAAAAAGGTTGATTGGTTTCAGTGCATAGGAGCCAAGCTGAGGTTTTTGCAGGCTGTGCTAGCTTTTGTGCCACTGGCAGGGAAATTTGCCCAGGTTGTCCTGATTATTAAGCACTCAAGTAGCTGGGCAGTATCGTGAGCAGCCCTATGTGGCTCTGGAAATGGGGAGGTAGCTCAGCAGCAAGCTACTTCCATTGTGTCTAATCCTGCAGGCATGGGCAGAGTGGGTAAGGGCTTCACAGGCACACAGAGAATTATTTAAGACACACTGCTCCTTCTGCAGCTTTCTGACACTTAATGCCCTGGGACTGAGAGCCCCGAGCAGTGTTTGTGCCCTAAGTATGACTGTACCAAGCCTGGTTCCTTTTCTGAACAGCAGAATTTTTATCTTTCTCAGTCCTGCTTACATTAGCTTTATTTTGAGTCCTATCTTTTCTGCAGAGCAGGCTGTGTAATCATCATTTCTTAACAATTGATGCTGCTGATATCACTAATATCAAGCACTTCTAAAGAAGGCCACCATATGCCTCCAACAGAGGAGTCCATCACAGGAGTCCTATGGGTAACAGCAGTCTATAAGATCCCCTCTTTCTGGACACTCACTTCACTTCTCTTACTGCCGTTGAGATGTTGTCCCCATCAGGGTGTTAGAAGATATTTTACTAGGTATTTAGTTCCTGGGAGAATCAGAATGTCACTTCTGTATTTCCACCCTCTCATTATGAAGCCCTAGGAGCTCCTTGGTTTCTCCACCAGTGCATCGAGTCACATTCATGGCTCAGTGCCATGCTGGTTGGAAGGGGTGAACATGGCTGTTTCACTAGGGAGGAATTAGCTGGGCTGGAACTGCAGTCAGAACATGTGGTGCTCATCAGACCAAAATAACAGCAGCTTGGCAGCAACACAGCCACATGCCCTGCAGAACCTAATGGCACCATTCATTTAGTGTTGGGTCAGAGAGACCAAAGGCGTTCCCCATAACACCTCCATCTTCTGAATGTACAGCACCTGCTGCTAATCCGGACTCAGCACAGCCATCCCAGCCTGTGCTATAGCCCAGAAAATAGCATCAAACCTTCACTGCTTGTTCCATGGCCAAAGGCAGGATGGACAGTGAATAGGAGACATTAATGTCAACTGTGCAGGGGGAGAAAAAAATGTGGTTTCTTTTTTTTTTTTTGCTTGCTTTTAGCCAAGTTCTTTTAAGAGCCAGACAAAGCTCTTAGAAACACCAATGCAAACTCAGAATTTCTAATTCCTTTTAGAATTGCTTTGATACTGGTATAAAATGCAAAATAACAGAATCACCTGTGCTTGTAGGTATAACATTGGGTTATTCCTGGAACCTCCATGTAGCATTTCCTGCCTTTCATTAGTGTCTTTAAAAGATTCTGAGGCTGACTTTAAGTGAAGATTTTCTTTGTATCTAAGAAGAGATCACTTGCCAAATTAGTATAGCTTCATGAATCCCTTTGATGAATTAAAATTAGTTACACAGGTCCTAATTCTGCAATACATTTAAGCACATTTATTTGTATGCTAAATTCAACTCTGTTCAGCAGAGCACTGAAGATGATAATATTTCCAATGTCCATAAATCCCATTAAATGGTACTACTTAAGTTAATGTGCCCTAAGTCAGACATTGTGCTAAATTGTGCAGTTGTAGCAGGAAGCTGGTGGAAACATAAAATAACAGTTCCCTGTCCTGCAAATGCCTGCCATCCAAATACAGAGTTAGCACCAAGGTGGAGGAGAAAGCAGCAGAAGGATGCAGTACATAACTGTAAAGGTTTCTCCATCGGTCATCTTGCCACATGTGCACTTTGTTCCCGTGGGGTTGGAGTGATGCTGCCAGCACTCAGCCCCTCCTGAGCTCCAGCCCTGTGCACATCTGTACTGCCTTCTCTGTGCCACGTGTCAGACCAGTGACAAATCTTGTCTCTGCAGTGCATACATAGACAAAGCGAGTGACACAGCGGAGCAGATGATTCTGATAGACAGCCAGCTGAACTCTCCTGAAGGGCTGGCGGTTGACTGGGTTCATAAGAATATCTACTGGACGGATTCTGGAAACAAGACTATCTCAGTGGCCACTGCAGATGGGAGCAGGAGGAGGACACTTTTTAACAGCGACCTCAGTGAGCCGAGAGCCATTGCTGTTGATCCCACACGGAGGTGAGTGTGAAAAGGAAATGTTTGTGCTTTTCTGCCGGAATTCCAGTAATCTTTCTGCCTCTCTCACAAAACTCATGTGCATCACATGTGCCATAAATTAGATCCTAGTGGATTTACTTACATGTTTAAAGATAAGGGCCTCTGTAAGAGCTTACATAGGACTGCTGAAATGCTTCAAAGAGCTGGTTCAGGTAAATCTCTGCATGGCTGCAGCTGTAAAAAAAAGTTTTGAAAATTATGTTGGGTTGTGAGCCAGGTGGGCCTGAGCTCAGGCACACAGGTTATGTTGGGAAATAACGTAAGTATGACAGGAGTGCAGGATAAGTCAAGTCTACAGATCTACCACAGACACCAGGAGATAGTTTGGGGTTTTATATTCTGGCACAAGTTCTGTGGCAGAGTAACCTGTGGGACAGGAGCACAGTAGCTCCACTAAATGAGTATCAAGATAAACTGGAGTGACCAAGGGGGCTTTGCAACATCAAGCAGAGAACACTGTAAATCCCCAATCAGTAGTTCAAGTTTCTTACCCTTGGGTCCAATTTACTGTCTCCTTGCATCCGTCTCTTTTAGGTTCATGTACTGGTCTGACTGGGGAGACAAAGCAAAGATTGAGAAAGCAGGCCTCAATGGCGTGGGGCGGCAAGTGCTGGTGTCTGACAACATTGAGTGGCCAAATGGCATCACGCTTGGTAAGCAGCCAGGTCACAGCTACAGGAATCCACTGTGGCTAATGTAAATTTCTTGTAAAGTAGGCAAACACAGCCAGAGTTAAAGACATCCACGTTTAGCACCACGCAGGTATGAGGTTCTCCGCTTGGTTTTATGTTTGAAAATTCTGTCCATAAAAGGATGTAGGAGAAAATGTTACCACCGTTGCATATTGTTGAAGTGCTACTGCTGTGAACAAATAATGTTATCCTTTAGTAATTAAGAAATTAATTAATGGTTTGTTTTATTACAGAATTTGTTCTTTGTTGGCACTCATCCACTTACTCAGTTTAGTGAACCTCATCCAAAATAAGTGGATCTGCTCCAGGAAGAGACATTCAGTTCACAGTATACTAAATAACACTGGGCCCTTCCCTCCTGCTCTTACCTTCATCCTCCCCAAGATCTTTCTGATCTGGGGAAGAAAGTTCCCACCACTGCCATTCCCTCAGCCTGCAGCACAAGGAACCGCATTCTTCATCACTGAAAACATATTAATCACATGGCTCCTTCAGAGAGATGTCATTTGAATCCCAGTTGTTATTCTCCAGCAAGGGGCCAACAACTAAATAGGACTGAGTGCCCCTGAAGGAGCACCTCTGGGAAGCCTGAAGTGTGGCTGCCCTGCTCCTTCTAGTGCCAAACAGTGCTGTCAGTCCAGCATTCACACACACACATACTAGAATGTTTCTCTTTTTTAATCTTACTTAGAAGGTCTTATCTCAGCATATCTGGGCACTGAGTCAAAATCACAACTAGTGTTAAAAAAAACTTTTAAAAGCCTAATAATAAAGAGATTAGTCATGCTGCCAGCAGAAAAAAAAATGCTGGGAAGTGAAAAAGAATTGCAGAAGCTGTGTGTAATTTTGCTTCATTGTGTTTTACTTCTCAGATTTGCTGAATCAGCGTCTCTACTGGGTGGACTCCAAATTACATTCACTCTCCTGCATTGATTTCAATGGCAGCAACAGAAAAGTTCTGATCTCTTCTGTTGATGATCTGAGCCATCCTTTCGGCTTAGCAGTGTTTGAGGTAAGAGTCAAGATCGGGTGAGAACAGACTGGAGACTGCAAGAAGTCTCAAAGCTCTTCTTGATTGAAAGCTTTGCCTTTTGCATAGCACAGAAAGCTGAGTGAGGGTGTTTGCTGCTATAGTAACCGATTAACCTGGTGTGGGTTCAGTAGGGAAAATAGTTTTCTAAAGCCCTTAATCAGGAGCGATACGTTGCCTTATGTTTTTACCTAATGTAGTACAAGTGAATCCGTGAGGGCAGGCAGTGCTCAGAGTTATGGCTCCCACACAACTGCATGGTCATGGCTTTTCCTTGAGGTGAACTGAGCCAACCGCCCATGCAAAGGCTGAAACTGTTAGCAAGGGACAGGAGAAACCTCTTGCTGTGATTAGCAGTGGGGCAGCCGTTCACTCAGTGACACTGCAGCATGTCCTATGTCTGTCTTCTGATGAGTCAGACTTTGAGGGGAGCTGCATGGGCTCAGGACAGCCGCCCAGCCCACTGCTGAGCACTCTGCTGTTCCCAGCATTTTTGTTTCACATGCATGCTTGTGTTGCACTTTCCATCACTAATAGAATCCTCAGGGGAGGATGGCCTCATAAGTCTGGGGTTTGATTTCTTGCACTGTCCTCTGGCCATCCCAGCATCTGCAGAAGTGTCCTCAAACATTTTCACTTGTGGCAGGAGTCTGAAGGCTCCAGTGGGCAGTATGTGTGCCAGGCTCACAGGGCTCCCCCTGCAGTCACCTGTGCACCAGTGTGTTGCTGAGTTGAGAATTTGGCATTAAAAAGGTATTTATTTGTTCACCTAATTCAGGAAGGCAGATAGTTTGCTTTCAGCTGCTGCCATTATGACACACAAATCCTGCCACACATCAGAGCAATGTCTCTGTCCAAAAAACTACAACTCTGATCCTACAAAAATATATGCCTATCTTCACAAATTAGGCTTCTGGCCCCTACTTGCACTTAGAAACCCAAATGCATTCTTGTATGATTGTAGATTCTTGTAGTACTCATCTTACTCCTGTTTTTAAAAAACCAGAAAGGTGCAGGAACATCCAAAAAGTCCAGAATTTGGATGTAACCAAATTCCTGCTCCCTCAGTCTCACAGCTACTCCAAATTACTGAGCACTCCTAAACACTGTGCTGTAGAGTGCTGTGCTTTTTAAACATGCAAAATAAAAAAGCTGCACATAGAAGTACCATAAAACCAAAGTTCTCCCAGTGCAGGAAAGCAGCACATTGATTATGTGACTACAGGAGTTTAGTCCAGTTTGAATTGGAACTGAGGAGGGTCAGGTCAGAAATCCTATGTATTTCCTGCAGGACAGAGTGTTCTGGACTGACCTGGAGAATGAAGCAATCTTCAGTGCCAACAGGCTGAGTGGCTTGGACATCTCTGTTTTAGCAGAAAATCTCAATAATCCTCACGACATCGTTGTATTTCATGAATTAAAGCAGCCCAAAGGTATGACATGTCTCTCGTGTCCTTAAATCAGATTTATTTGAACTACTAAATGAACTGCTTCCTGATGGTTTCTGATGAGAGAAAAAACACAGGTAATAATGTGAAATCAATGCCTGATGTTTGAAGTTCCTGCATAATTAATTCAACAGCAGCACCTACTGAAAAATCTATCACTTATTAATAGCTGTTTAATTAGTGTCTTTGATAACAGAATTACTCACATTATTGTGATCCTTTACATTTATTATGTATTTGGGCCATACTGCAGCCTGGAAGTGTCACAGCAAGGTGAGCAGATGGAGAATGGCACTCAGTACCATGCTGCTGAGCAAATAACATTAAAAAAACTGCATCATGGCACTAGGAAGCCAGCTCCTGACCCAGGATAACTGAAACTCACCCTGAGAAAGTTCAGTGAGGAGCGCATGGCTTGCGTCCCTCTGCTGTTATTATGAGCATGTACAGATGCTCTCCTCACTCAGCGGCATCAGTCTGTGAATGTTCTAAATAATTGTTAGTGGCAGTCAACAAGCCATTCAGATACTATCTTTATTGTGCAGTATCTGAACCACTGGCTTGTGAATGAGTACATTATCACAAAAGCAACTGGAGCTGCGTGAGGCTGTTAATTTTTTATTTGCTAATCTCTCCTCAGTTTTTATAGTAGTACATAAGGTTTTACTCCAAACTGTAAAGATGATTAAGGAGGGCAATTGATCAAGGTAGAGAGTTGAAGCAAGTCTTCTTAAGAAGCTTAATGGTTCTTTGCTGAGGGGGGGAAAAAAAAGCTAACTTGTCTTTTCTTCTGTCTTTGAATAGCTCCAGACTCCTGTGAGCTCAGCCCCCAGCCAAATGGAGGCTGCGAGTACTTGTGTCTTCCTGCACCTCACATCTCTCCCCATTCCCCCAAGTACACGTGTGCCTGTCCTGACAACATGTGGCTGGGCCCTGACATGAAAAAATGCTACAAAGGTAAATACAGTCACATCACTGTTGTGCTGTCCCAGTAAAACTGTACTTAACGGTGGAAAAAAGTGCTCCTGATGGTGGAACACATACATTAGCTTTGGAATTTTACATATATTCTGTCTTCTGAACACAGAATTGCACTATTCTTTATTGAAAACCTGTGTTATTTTTTGAAAGCATCATCAGGAAAAAATAGAGGGGAAAGAGGAAAGAAGGGATGATCCCTAGGACTGAAAATGTGAATGGTCAAAAAATGATATACATTTGCCATGTTAGTGCTCTGTAGATACTGGATCTGGAAAGGCCACAATCATTGCTGAAGAGACTGGTGGTTACTTTCCCTAACGTGCAGATAGTTCCTGGTACAAATTCAGTACCTTATCAAAAAAATGAGTACTTTAATTAATAGTAGTGAAGTACTCTGTCTGGAAGATGGTTAATAATTTAAAGTTTGATTTCAGAAAAAAAAAATTCTGTAGATTATCAGTTCTGTGCTTGGCAATTAGAACTAGAATTTGATTTCTATTTCTAACCAGCAAACATCACAATCCGCCCCAGATTTATATCACCATTTGTCATTTGCTGATTTATTTCATCAATGCTTTTGCTTTTCAGATCTTCCAACTACTCCAGCTACCACAGTGGTTCCTACAACCACAGCATCTCATCCTGTCACTACCTCCACTGTGACTGTAACTGGCAGTGCCAACACCACCACTGCTGCCATGCCCAGAGCTGCATCGGAAGCCACAACTGCCATCCCAAGTTCTCATTCAACCACATCCATCCTCATAGATTCTGAGATGACCACTGGAAACAGCAACTTGTCACAGCACTGTAAGTGAATGAGATTCTTTTTGTTTTCAATTTATACATTGCCACAAAAACTCATGAACAAGTAGGAGACTGTACCTAACAGCTGAGCTATAAAAGGTCATATGCTGGCACACCTTCTCATATAGCAGGAGAAATTAGGTATTCTGTATGCAGATGCCTCTGTTCTGATAAGGTGATTCCAGTTGCTTGGGATTTTAGGGCACTCATGTCAGGCTTTCATCCCACACGTGTAAAGCTGACTCTAGAGATAAGGCCCTGCAAAATGCATACCAGTCCTTGCCCTGTGCCCACTACTAGTCCACCTTGGCTTCAGTGGTGTTTATACTGCTGCTGACCTAAATATGAATGAGTCTATAGATGGCTTATGTATTTTGTTTAATTACTGTTGGGATCCAGCACAAGCTATGAGTGAGACATACATCCTACCCAGCTGTAGCCCTGTCGGACATCTGGGATTACTGTAGTCCAAGTCAAGCTGCTACTGCTTTGCATGGCTGTGCTCTGTGTGTTAATGTGGCCTGACCATGAAATACAGTAGAAGTTGTGCATTACATGGCACAAAAGTAGTCCGAGGGCATTAACAGGCTCTCCTGAAGTTTACCCTACATTATGAGTGAATAATGAAACCCTAGTCTATCTTTACAGTGCTATCACATCATCCCTCAAGCTTGTGCTGTCTCGTGTAAAACTGAAAAGCTGACCTGCTTTTCCAAAATCAATTCTAATCCAAAGAGAAGAATTTATTCTTCAGAACTGTCCTTTAAGACCTCAAAACAGATCCAGATTGCTTTAGCAGAGTAATAGATTAAAATACTTTACTTTAAAAAAAAACATTTCAGTAACTGGAACAGGCTGTTTCCATTGCACTTGGAAAGCAAAAATAAGCCACCCTGCTTTGACTATGATGCCTCTTTGAAGCAATCAGTGAACTCGTTTTGTAGAGCATGGGGGAAAATAGAATCTGATTTATAAAATTCACTCTTTTAAGTCCTGTTTGTGCAAATTTCCTTTCAAATGTAATACTTAACTTAAGCCATAGATGCTAAGTTCTTTAAGTATCAATGTTTAAAATAGGCTGACCTATTATTAGGTAAATAACCATGTAATGGAACAATCTGCCAAGGGGAATTGTTTAAAAGAATAAATTGCCTTTTAAGTTTCATGAATTGATGCATCTGAAGACAAACTACAGTTAGTTTCCTTTTTCTACATTCCAGCTACTTTAACACAACTATTTTCTGTGCTGATCCCCTATTATTAGAGCTTAGAGCAAACATTTTGAGGTTACTCTTGCATGCTGTAGCAGGCTGCAGCAACCACTGATGTATATGTGGTGACCAGCTCCGTAGCTGTACATAATACATGTAGATACACACGTGCACATATAACAGGCACTGCTTTCCTAAGAAACACTCAGCTCAACCCAACCCAGCATGTGTACATATGTCTCTTATTTTTCTCCCTGATTATTTAATTCCAAAACTTTTTATGAACTCTTTGGTAACAAATACATTATGATGGGCAGAACAGCAGCTTACTGACATAAAGCTTTCTTTAGCTATGGCTTTAAAACCTGTGAATGAGTGAAATATTTCTGTCATTACAGATTCAAATAATGGTCAAGGCTTTGATTCAACCGTGACAGCAGCTGTTATTGGAATTGTCATTCCTGTTGGTAAGCTGATTTGATTTAAACATTGAAGGAGATCATACTGAAATATTAGTGTAAATAAACTTTTGTGACTCAAGATTGGAGGGTGGGAGACAGTAGAGGAACTGCTGAAATGAGTCTGGATTTGAGGCAGTTGTGAAGGATATAGACTTACATAGGAGGAATTTGTTGAGATGTTCCTTTCTCCACAAAACTGGCTAACACTGTCTCCTTTCATCAGTGGTTATTGGCTTGCTGTGCATGGGGGGATACCTCATCTGGAGAAACTGGAAACGGAAGAACACTAAAAGCATGAATTTTGATAATCCAGTATATAGGAAGACAACAGAAGAGGAAGATGAAGATGAAATCCATATTGGTCGGACTGCCCAAATTGGACATGTCTATCCAGCAGTAAGTATCTGAGCAACCTGCTGACACAGATTCATTTTGCTGAGAATTTGGCTTACAGAATTATCTCCACATGATTACATTGTTGGTTATTTGACATTATTAGTTCTGTTTTTTATCATTATGTAATTCAAATAATCATTGAATAGGCAGAAGACTAAACTTGTCTTAAAATATAGTGGTGTATATAATAAGATGCTGTTTAAATGAAGAGCAACTGTTCTAATCAGTGCACACAGTCTGCTTTATACTTGCTGTCTTTCCATCTTAAGAGCTCAATATGTGACGACTGATTACTTATCTTCTGAAAGGTTCCATGTTGCTCAGACTCCTACCAAGTACCTGAACTATTTTAAGGATAACTTGAGTTTTCTGTACAACAAGGGAGAAAATGTATTTTCCATATAACAGAACTGTGCAAAAGTCAGATTTCTCACAAGGAGAAGTGAATGAGGTTCTGTAAGAAGTTAAGGAAATTTGTCTTGGCAACATCAATCTTTACAAAAATGAAATACTCACTTTGTTAGCAAGTCCTTTGTATGCAGGAAAAAAAGAGAAATTGTTCTGCGTGGCAGCTTGTCTGCATTGGAGCTTCCTTCCAAGAAGCAGCCCTCATGAGATGAATCACTGGCAGTAATAACTGCTTTGTATTTTTAGAAGAGAGAAAGATCTTAAGTGAGTGAAGGCAATATAGTTTCGGTAGGAAGGTAGGAACTTAACTAATGCCTTGTATTACCTGAAGGTCACCTAGAAGTGTGTCAGTCCTTACAAGGAATTCTATCCATGTAACATAGAAGTAAAGTGAACTGTCCAATGCCTCTGTAGTAAAACTTCAGGGAGAGATTTCACTTAGGGGAAAAATCAGTACATGAAATAGTATTTGGCACCATAACATTAGGGCAGCAAAGAGATTTTTAACAGCAAATACAACATGGAACCAAATTCTGATACTATTGCTCATGTATCAAAATTCACAAGTCACAGATTTTCTCCTGAAATTTGCTTTTTTTCCTCCACAGCGTGTAGCACTGAGCTTAGAAGACGATGGGTTGCCATAAGGATAAAGTTGCTGCTTCAACCAGAACGCACCGAACAAATTTTCTTTGGATCACAAAACCTGCTTCTTTGTTTGAATCGTTATTTATGTTGCAGAAGGGTAACCACAGAGTTATAATGAACTGCAAACATCCAAAGGATGTGAGAGTTTTGTATGTATAATCTTTTATACACATTTTAACTTGTTGCACTACCCATTTGTGATAGTCAATAAGCAACTGCTGAGCTACTAACTCAATGTACATAACCAGCAGGCTGACGGTTCAGTAGCTACTGCTTTATTTTAAGACTATATTTATAGATATTTTGTAAATATACTGAATATGCTTTGTGGCTATCCATCAACATAAGTAAAAATAAATTCTGTACAGACCGTTTAGAAATATTTATTAACAAAATCTGAATTATAAGATCTGATCTGTAAATATAGTAGAGGGGTGAGAGTATTTATTTTTTGTATGTTTGGCTTGCTGTGCATAGATTATCTGTGTATATATCTATCTAGTCTAGATAGATATATAGGATATAAATATATACATATATATAAATATATACATATATTTTAAAACTACTGGGCTATGTTTATGAAAATTAGGGATAATTGAATTTTTACCAGGTGTTTGAAGTTCACTTTCAAATTCAAAGACACAAAGTAAGAAACAGCTGTACTGTAAGACAGCCAATAAATGACAGCCATAACAAACAGGGCTTCTGTTTCCCAAAGTGGCTTGCAAGGGTTGCTTTCACCTTTTCCAGTTTAGCCAGCTTCACCTGCACTGCTTTGAGCTGAAGAGCTGTTGCTAACAGCATTTCAGGCAGGAGGAGCTCCTACAGTGACTATGTTTTTCATTCTGTACTGTTGCTTTTTACAGGTTGGTACAAATCTGATTTAGCAGATTTTTTCATTTTCTTCTAACTATAAATCTAAATCTTCTTCCCCATTAGGCATCCTGCTCCTCTCACATGCATTTAGAATTAGCAGAAACAAAAAGGTTGAGACACATTCTTTCAGATACCCAAAGTGAGCACTCAAGAAGGCTCATCAGGAAACAGTCCCACAGTAACGTAAGGTAATCCCTTACCTTCTGGATCCTTTCCCCCACTCTCTTCTTCATTAAGAGTCTCAATTTAGGAAATACTGTGGGGCAGTGTCTTAGTTCAGCATACGTAGAATTTATTGAAGTGCAGCAGCTGTCATCAAAGTGAATGCCTGCACTGTAGTAGATCTGACATAACACGGAGTGCGAGACAAGGTTCACAACTCTATCAATAGCTGATTCCTGGAATTCAGTGGTATCTGAAAAAAACAAAGCATCACAGGAAAAAGAGGTTGAAAGCATTCTGGTCTGTTAGTAACTGCCTTTCATTCTCTATGGTTCCCAACCTTTGTTTCTCTCTCCTGCAGACCTCAATAGCACTGCGTTACCATCACCCCATAAGACAATAAAGGAGTCTAAATATGCACCATTTCTCCTAAGAATTACAATGACTAGCACAATTAAGATTAAAATAGATGACATAATCCTGCTGCAGAAAGAGGCAATAAGGAGTCAGGCGCTCTTATATTTACTCCTCTAGTGGCAAAAAGATATATATATATATGTATATAAATATATTTAAACAGGCTCCTCCTGCAGAAGAACATCACCTTTGTGCTAGCCTTGGATTCCAAGATACTGCTTTAGGAAGGAGAAATCAAGAACAGCCTCTTTCTCTTGCTAAACCAGCTTCCCTTTCCTACACAGCTACTTCTCCTGCCCCTTCAGTTCCAGTAGCTTATTTAAGGTCTGTGCACTGAAATGGAAAACATTAGTGTAAGGCTCTGCACTCAGGTTCACAAAGTTTCCAATCAAACCACAGCAAGTGCTGATCCTTCACCTTAAAGGGCACATTCAGACATCCAGGCAAAAAGCAAGGCCTTCTCCCAGCTGGTGTTTTCTACCTGTTCCATGCAGAGAGGACTGTCCAGTTCCTCCTCCCTCTTTCTCTCACTCATTGTGGCACAGATCGATGGTGTGAGCTGAGGGTAGCAATGCTGTTTGGCTGGGTTGTTCAGAAGACCCTCTGCTTTTTTTCTTATCTCATGCTATGAGATTCCCAGGAAGTGGATGTACTTAAGGTGAGTTGGACTTGGATTCTTGACTAAGAAAGGAACAAGGTGTCTGAAGATCTAGGGTAGCATTCCCCTACTTAAACTACTCACTTCACAGCCTTTGTAGACAACATCTAAAGAATCAAGCATCCTTCTGTTCAAATTCTAGATTTTAAGGCAGTAAAGAAGTGATTGAGATACCCAGTTACTGTTCCAAGGTATGAAGCTCTGTGTCTGCAAGTTCATGCACTGTGTGCATGAAGAAAAACTGAGAGAAAGCTGTATGTGATAACACTGTAACTAACAGACATGTAAATATATTTGGAAGTTCTACAGTTTTGATACTTTTCTAAGAGCACATACACACAAACCTGTATAAACCATGTAAAAAAGGCTGCGTTTTTTTGTAAATGAACTCAATGTGCAGTGTTGATTTCAACTAAACACTTTTTTTTTTTTAAGAAATTTTAAATAACAATTCAGGTTGTTAGGATGATATTTAACATTGTAAACACTTCTGATCCGTCTTGTCATGTTGAAGTTCTGTTAAAGTAAGTTCTTGCTTGGTGCCTTTTGTGTTTCAGTTTTTGGTATGGACAAAAGGACCAGGGAGGGATGGGGAGGGATCTGCTGTGTAACACGTGCTGTACTTACATGAATAAGGATTACTGAAAACCAAATGAATATGTTTGTAAAACAGTGCACTGTTTCTACAGAAAGATTAAATTTTTTTTATCTGAGCCTACTGAACTAATTACATTTTAGTACTTAAAATGCTGTCTCTTAGAACTGGTACTGTATTGCATTTTGGTCTGCCTTTTCCTTAACTCTTAATTGTTAAAACTGGAAGAGGGGCTTAGGGGCCTGTTGGCATACTTTGGCTGTTCTCTTTGGAATTTCACCATCTTTAACAGCTACAGCATCATAACAGGAATAACAGACAGGTTATGGCCAACTTTAAATAAGCAGAGTGTTTTGTTCAGCAGGGGGCTGGAACTTGGAAAGTCCCCTTCATCCTAAGTCATTTTATGTACTGCTAAAGCCTTCAGAAGTAGTGTGTATCTTGAAAGTAACTTTTAAGTCATTCGATTAAAATATTTCAATTAAACATGTTAGGAGAGTAATACAGTAGCAAATAGAAGTAATTACCAGAAAAAACAGAGTACTCCATATCTGATCTATTGGCTGACAGTCAGCCCAGGCTGGAAAACCAGAATGGGTTTTAAGGTCCATTCCTGCCCAACACTTCTATGATTCTGATGATTTTATGTCCACACAGAGAAAATGCTAACTAAGAAAAATAACAGCATCCTACAAGAGTCCCAAACCTGTGGCACTAATCTGTGCCTCCTCTAACAGCTGTCTTAACTATATATACATTGGACATGACTCACCCTTCAGAGGGATGCACATTAACACACTGGCCAACTCAAAGCAGTTATTAACAAAACATGCTCACTTACTTTGCTGGTCCTGGTCCCCAAACAGCTACAACAAGAGCACTTCCAATGCAGCTGTAGTGGCTTTGGATGCCCTGGGAACAGCACACAGGTTAACAAAGCTATCCACAAGTCCTGCAGTGCCAGCTTCATACAGTCGAAGTTTGACATTCATTGTGGATTATCCTGATGACAGTAGCAGAGGTTTCAACTTTGAAGCTGTGTTTCTGCAACATCTGGCAACTGATCATTTCCTGGGGATTTCTCAGCTAGCACATCAGGACCTGAGAACAGGAAAAAAAAAGTCCTCTCAGCACCAAGACTTGGGAAAAGAAATATGTCCTTCACCCTGTCACAGCCTTATATAACAAGCAACCTCAAGTTGGTTAAAGTGCAATACAAATTCTGCTTTGTGAGGTAAAAGGATTTCCCACTCCTAAATACACCCACCCACCATAAATATAGCAAATAGCTCCTATGATGGAAACACTGCATTCTACAGCTCATAAAGATGGTCTTTAAAAAATTCTTCACACAAGGATGGAGTCTCACACCATGGAACACAGGTCTCCAGACAATTACACACTGTCCTTCCTCTATGCTTTAATCTTTGCAGCATGAAAAATGAACTCACATCTTCATTAAACACTTCATAAAATGGGGAATTCCCTACCAACTCACTGACTAAATCACATTTAGGATTTTTATCTTACAAATCTGCTGGACAAGGAATTAATTAGTAATTTATTTTCATATATTTATTCCCCCTCTGGAACACAGCTGAAAGCACACTCATTTAATTTAAGCCATTACACAGTAAGGAGAATGGAAAACTTTATGACCAAATGTTCAAGAAAAGCCCCTGAACCAATATCATTTGCTAATAAGGCACACAAACACGTAAGGTCTAAGCAAAGAGAACACTTTGCAGTAATGCAAAGATATACAGTAATTGTCAATTAAAGCTTATGTACAAGGTTTGATGACAGGAATTCCCTTAAGCTAAATCTAAGCCACTAATAGTGAAAGTCTGACAGAAGTGATTGGAAATATACACTCAATTATTATCAGCAGTCTGATGTGTGCATCACATTTAAAATCCCAATAAAATGAACTGACATCACATTTGATGCTAAAGGCATCACTGGTAATGGAAGTGGTAAAGATGTGACAATAACTTTTTCAAACGTCAGTTCTGCAAGAGAGCAGATGAGGTTAACAGAATCTGGTGCTTTAGAGGAAATTCATGATAAACATGGATTTTTGAATTTCCAATGCAATGTTGATCTTTCCATCTTAAGGCCAAATGCAACTAAAAAAGGTACTGAGAAGGTCAACAAGGGTAATCAAAAGAGCTTGTGCATCTTTTCAAAGCTTCAACTCAGTGGCAAGGGGAAACAAAATTGAAAGGATATGCTATACAACACCTATATTTAAAATCATTATTCCCTAGCACTTTATTTGCACCATTAATTATTCCCCATTTCTCTTAGTACCAGAACTCAAAAGCATGCAGTAACACTTGACCAGATAGCAGGTTCAAAATACATGAAAAAATACTCATGGAATGCATAAACAAACTGTGGCACCCTCTGCAGCACTGTCCTGTGAGTACAGGGCTGTATGTGGCTCAAAACAGCATTTCAGCTGCACCTTTTGGACCCTGAGGAAGCTAACTCAAGAAGCTGAAAGCTGGGCACACAGCAGGGTAACCACATACACTCCATCCTCATCTCTTCCTCAGCATCTATTACTAGCTACTGTCAGAAATTAGATAGAGTAGGTAGAACAGACTGCTTCAATACAACACAATAATCAGGCAAGTAATTTCTTGTATTTCCTTTCCTTCCAGTTTAAATTATCTCATTTTCTACAGACTACATGGAAATTTATTCAGAAAATGCAATCACTGAAGCGTAACAAACATTGTCCACATGAACAAAGCAGTCTGTGGACATCAGAGCAAGCTCTGGTTCCACGCAGACAACACCAGGCAATTACACACTGTCCTTCCTCTATGCTTTAATCTTTGAGGCATGAAAAATGAACTCATCTTCAATAAACACTTTATAACAGGCCCAGATAATTATATTCTAAGAATTCCTGCAAAGTTGGTGCAAGAACACATATGGTCCAAGTTTGGCTGTCATTAATCTAACTGAAACTGTTTTAGGCACTTGCAGTTCACAAATATCACTGTTGAATCCAAAAGAAGAAAAAATAAAGTGCACAGTTTGGATCTCTCATAAATGAGTGTTGGTCTTTTTGCAGGAAAGATTACATCTCAAATGTTTTTGCCACGTTGAGGTTAAGCAGATATGCACTCCAAATCAGCATGGTAAGAAGTGACATTTATAAACGAGGTCTAAAATATTTTTTTCTTCTTTTGGTCATTCAAGAACTATTCAATAAAAACCACTGACAGACTGTCATCGTGAATGCCTACTTTGTCTTTGCAGACAAGGAGAGAAAAACACAGAGCAGGGACCATTAAGGTTGTTCCTCTGCCTTACCTATCACTGCCAGTCTAGGACACAGCTACAAATCAGCACCAATGACTTTAAGAATCACCACTTTTATCTGAACAACACAGAACATTATTTTTTTTTTTCCCCTTCAGTTGTGCTGTCAGTTCACAGAAGCAGTCCTTACATAGTTTTCATATATAAAGGCACTAACACATTAGAAGAAAAGTCTTCAAACCACGAACACTAGACATGAACACATCCCAGTGTAAAGACAGGAGATGGCCCTACCTGCAGACTTGGATAAATAACTGAGACACCACAACAGAAGCACCCAGCGATCCTGCTGTCCTTGATTACAGTGTATCACCATGTATTTTCAGCTACACTATTACAGGGGTTGATAAGAGATACAATTTCTGGTATCAATGAGGTACAAGGGACTAGGATCAGGAAACAAACAAACAAACAAAATCTGTCAATGGGGGTTATACCTTCCAACAGAGAACATTCAAGTGTTTCTTTAGTTCACAGGGAACTGAAACAAGGCTCCTCCCACGCATCTGAAATCCAGCTCAAGTTTATTCAAGATGCACTCCTGTTCACAACAGCAGATGTTTTACCATACCCAAACTATTTCAGGCCCTGTAGCCAGGGATGATCCAGCCATGGATCATGGGTCAAATAATTCCAGATTTGATACGAAAGGTCACACCTTACCACAAGCAACCTTGTGAGAACATATTCTCTTGAACTCCTCCCTCCAGCCTAAAAAAAAAAAAAAGACAATAAACCCACCCTGCATCAACTCCAGCATTAACTATCCAGTAAGTTACATACAAAACAACAAGCCAATGATTTCTGGTTTTCCATTGTGTCTTCAATGTAGAAAGCAGGCATACTTTTGGTACCCTCTGCATAGAAAGATTACCCTGAATTAACAGGGGGGGGAGGGGGGAAGGGTAAGGAATGTGACAATATCACAACTGAAGTGGATGGGATATGAAAAAGCAAAATATGCATATTGGAAATAATCACAAAATAACACAGGCTGAAGTTGCATCGAGGACTCAGTAGGTCTTGTGCACAGTAACTGTGTTATCATCCAGTTCACTCTCTCTGCACAACAGCCTTGCAGACCAGTTCTGCATTGATTACTCTGAATTGCAGCTGCACAACAAACTACCACAGATCATACAAACAAGTCTCTAACACTCTCCCTGCTAATACACAGCTGAGTGTCAAACACCCACACACATCTGAGCCAAGAAACAACAAAGCAGACTTCACAATCAAGTGCTGCTGTGGTCCCCCTCCCTTTAAAACTCATTGCTATTTAAATTAACAGAAGAACCAGAAGCTTTCTTGAGCAAAGTCATGTACTCAAATGTCTTCAATCAATTTCAATTCACTTCCCCAGGAAGAATGTAATTAAGGAGAACTGTGCAAGATACAGAAGAACATAATGCGCACCCTTTGCTTCCTAGGAAAAAAAATAAAGTCAGTTTAGCTTCAGCAAAGAGAATTATTCATCCCTACGTACACCACAAAATTCAGGAAGGGTTCAACTACCATATTCCAGTGCCCTTGCCAGAAATCTGCCAATACACAGGGCTCTGGGAGGTGACAAGAAGTTCTGCCCCATTCTACTTTGTGAAGGTGGGGAGGAAGAAAGGAAAAAAAACAAAGAAACAATTCTCCAATATAATTTATAGCTTGGGCATTCATAGCCTCATTCAATCATAATGTGGGAGAAAAGAACCCACAGAAGATGCAGGCAGTTCAGCTCAACTTAAGCAGAAGACCAGACAGAAAAAAAGCTAGAGGAGGAACCTCTCTTGTAAACATCCCAGATACACTGGCACTTTTCTGCCATCTGAATCTGCCAAAACACCACTGGAAAATAGGGCTGGCAAAGTGCTTAGTAATAACATTTTCTGTAATTACTTTCAAAATGGTTAAACAGCTATTTTACTAAAGGCAAACAAAGAGCCCACCAAATTGCTAAGCTTAATGCTTGCCTGCCACATTACATTTCTGTCTGCTAAGCCCTCCACAAACAGCTGTGACTTGAAAGCCTGAGCAAAAGATTGTAAAGACTGCAGAAATTCCCTCCATTAATCTCTGATATTTACCTACCACAGACCACAGGCCATGCTCCAAAATTACATGATGTAGATCTCCATTTAAAAAAAATAATAATAATCCATTTTAATTCAGAAATCCTTTTCAAAATTGTAGTTGACTTTACTCAGACATAACTGAGAGCAGCCCCAAGAGAAATCAAAGCAATCTGCAATTACCAAAATGAAACAAAGGGGCTGATAAACCAAGGGATCTTGAACTTTGGTAAGTTCATGCATAGGATTAAGAAGTTCCATCTCTGCAAAAATCATCACAGAAACACTCTGTTGAGTGGATGATTCAGAGCGGGCACTAAAAAAAATTGAGGAAGTTTTAGCAGAGACCTAGGAAAAATGCTAACAGTATTAAAATAAATAAATACCAGAAAGCTCTCTCCCTCCTCTCACAAGCTGAACTGTGAACTGAGCATTGGCTTCAGGGAAAAGCTGGCAGATACTTTGCCACATTAGAGGATTCTTATACTAGAACACTCTTCCATTTAGCAGAAAAAACTGCAGTAAGTCAAAAGGCTGTGAGCAGAAATCAGCTAAATCCAAAGAAAAGTGTTTTTAAACTTTGCAGTAACTTTTCATTGGATAAATTTATCAAGTGGTGGCTTCTAAAAGGCCAAAGGGTTTTAACTTGATCCTACCATCAGTGGAAGACAACAGGAGGTGCGTATCAAATCAAATGATGCAGGAAAAGACCTTGATGCCTGAATTACTACAAGTTAAAAGGCACACACCACACACTTTGTCAAATTCCATTTTCTAAATGGCACCATGTAGCTTTAAAAATATTAAATGAAAGTCCCCTTCAATATCTAAATGATTATCTCTGTATTCACAGATATGGAATAAAGTCATCCAGGACTTTCCAGCAGCACTGGAACAGGTCTCCAACTGCCCTACAGTATTCTATAAACACTTCACTGCTTATTTAATGGCCTTTTATTTGAAAGTTTAGCTGCTACGAGTCTGATGACCACAGCAGCTGTGAACAGCAGCACAGGTGGCAGTAATATACAGTTATAGATCTGCCTCTACAGATCCTAAAACACACACAGGTGATGCTTAATGGGGACAGGGCAAAGTTCTTTTCTTCAACAGCCTTCAGTATGATTATGCAAGCCTGATCCAGATTACAGCTGCAGACTGAGAAAAGATTCCATAGAGAGCACCCTCGAAACTGCCTGCCTTCTTAACTCCCTCATTACAACGCCCTGGTAAGCCTCATTGCAATACAAAAATAAATTTATTTCAGTGCAGAAATATTGGAAAACAAAAAGCCAACAATTCAGAAACAGTGACATGCTGCTGAGAAGTTGCACTGAGCAAAAATAATACGAGAGAGGACAACCACAATTCATCTTCCAACACGCTGAATTTTTAAATACACAGTGGAACTTTCAGTAAACTTCATAATGGTTTATGCAATTACTTGACACAGTTATCTCCCTCTTTCCTGAGGGAGTTACACACTGCTACACACACAGCAGCCCACACAAGGCTCAGTTTAACCCCAAATCCTGAAGCAGAACCTTTTCATCTACAGGCTTAGAAACTTTTGTTAGTTGATTCAAAGCAAAATCCTAACAGAGACAACATAATATACAAATTAATTTTACAAAAGCATCAACAGCTATTAGTGATACAAAATCTAGAAAACACCACTAGCTTTCATTTAATATCTCCTTTCTAGAGCATGCTCTATTTTCACAAGTAGTAGTGAAATGGAGCACCTCAGGCTGCTTCTGCATATCAGAAAGCTGCACCCCCATTTTGATTAATATTTTCTTCTTTAAGAAAAATCAACACATCAGGCTTATCATAATATCTACATCATCAAATCCAAAGAGAATCAAAGATGTCAGACCATATTCACCCAATACTGGCTACTGCCTATTCCTCAAAAGATTAAGCTGATCTGCTGAAGAAGACTCCAGGCATCTCTTGCCCTTTTCAGCTGTGAAGAAGCTGTAACTCACATAAGCTATTGTTTCCAAATCAAATAGTAATTTTGCTGACTAACACCAACCTTATGTAATGTTAATTTTGTCTACTTACCCCTACCTGTGCAGCAGCAGGTATTGAGTATCTCTTCTTCTCATCTTCATTTTTCAAGAAACTAACAAAAGTAGTCTAAACAACAATCTAAAGTAACTCGTCCTTCCAGAGAGACTGAGAGAAGGACTAATAAAGGGAGAGCATGACATGTGAGTGAGACCACTGGCAATTAGAGAGAAACAAAAGCAGCTGGATGTGAGCTGTGGGAGGGGAATGACACAGCTGACACTTATTCAGAAGATTTGTTAATATTCTAAGAACAAATTTTAACCTCACAGTACACACACAAGCGCTGCTGACAGAAGAAATGCAAGTAACTGAGAAAAAATACACACAGGGTAACTATTTTAATACTTGAATTCATGACAACTTTGGCACCCAATCATTAGTTCTGTTACTCAGTATAAAGCAGAAGTATTTGGCAGTTTGAGAACTGAACTCACATATAATTATTGTGCTGGCATTCACTATTTTCAGCAAGAGCATGCAAAGAAGTGCATGGTAATTTCTGATGAAAAGACAGGCTCCTCGAGCCACCATGTTACACTACTATGACAAGACAAGAAGAACAAAGATGATTGCCTTCTTTTCTACCAGCGCCCTAAAATTAAGCCTTTCCTGCAGACACTCACTGGGCTAACAGCTCCGAGCTGATGAGCATGTTGAAGAAAGTCTTTTTCAGTCCCTCCTTAATTGTCTCAAATGCTACTGGAGTAAAACTGAAGTCAGGCAGTCAATGATGAGCTGAAGCAGTAGCTGTAGAGAAAATACTACTCCCTATCCATTTGTAGAATAAGAAGGACAACAGCTTGTTTCTTTCTAACATCAACAAAATATAAGACAAATCAGAGCTTACAAAAATACAGTATTTAAGTCTATTACACTTTTTTAAGGCAACAAATTATTTATGTGTAAAAAACAGCAAGATCTTGAATAAAGAAATCAGCATTTAAAAATGGATAATCTACGACTAGGACATATCACAGTTATTGCACAAGTCAGGCAACAATTCTGCTAAATATTTTTTAGTAAGAGTACCTACAACTGCACAGCTACCTCTCAATGTAAAATACATTAAGAAATTAAACTTATAATAACAACAAAATGGCAATAAATATTCTTTACTTGAAAGCTGGACCCACAAAGAAAGAAATGACCTAACCATACTGATGCAATAAATCTAGTCTGTGAAATGCTCTTTTACAATATCTCGCAGACTACACAAATGTTTTGCTCACCTCTAGTTTCCAAAGGAAATGTTACAGAGGGATGAGAATTCATTCTGCTCCTTTAGTTCCCTTCAGCCCTGTCCCATAGTCAGAATGTATCCAGGATCCCAGAGATAACAGAAAGCTATACCAAGTACATAAATCCAGGTATTTAAGCTTTTCTTGTCCTGTATTATTTGCTTCCTTTCGCTTCAGATCTAAATTTTGCTCTAATAGTTCCTAGGAACTTCCTCCTAATAACTTAACTGAATAATTAGTTCCAATAGTCACTCTGACAGTTTGGCTTTCCTCTCAAGAAGCCACTTCTGGGATGGCTCAAAAGCTTCTGGAAACAAAACCTGACAATTTGGGAACTGAGAGTGGACCTGTAGTTGGTAACCTGAGTTCTTCACAACTGCAGAAGTTCACAGATAAGGCAGGTTCTTGGCCTCTAGCTGAGATCCTCTGACAGCGTAACAATGTCACAACCAGCTAGGCTCCCACACTATCCATTATCCTTATCCTTATCCATTTTACACACATACCTCTATTTTACTGGTCTACTAAGAATTCACACCACCAGTTGGTGGAGATCAGTCTGCGTCAATGGCACAGATAGGTGATGCTAGATAGTCCAATGAAGTGTGCCTCTGGCAGCTACCACCTATTTCAAAATAGAGTAGCGATTAGGAAAGCACTTTTTAACAGCTGTATTAAGTAGAAACAGGCAAAACAAGAAGTGAGCTGTCCCAGCTTGTTGTTGTGTGCACGTTTTTTATTATATGCAAAACCATTATCCTTCTGTAGACTTTAAAACCAAACAGATCTATGAATTAATGAATTCTAACATAAACCTAAGCATTCCAGGCCTTTGACTAATGTAGAAAACAGTGCTCAACTTATGATTTGTTGAGCTTTACTGAGGGTGATGTCAGGACTTCCAAGTAACTTATGATTGTACCTATTCACTCTAACAACCAAACCATACTTTCCAGCCATCAGTTCATATTCCAGTTTAGCAACATCAACTTCAGAAACAGAACAACAGTCTTAATCAAAGGTTAGCAGGCATGCAGCACATAGGGGGATGTCATATAAAGTCACAGGCAGAAGATTAGGTGACATTCATACTGCTGCTGCATCATTTTCTGCCATAGCTACCAGAGATCTCTGCTGAATATGCTGCCCACAGCTGATGACCCTTCCAGCAGTCTCCAATGAGCTTTCTGTTCTAGCAGATTACTGTGATTACCATAAAGGTTATAAGCTACTTTCATACTGCATCAGCTGCACTAACATCTATAGTATGCACTTATTCTTTCCTGAAAAAACATTCCGTTCCCTGTCTTCTAGGGAACATAACTACTGAGAAACAGGAAAATCATATGAAAGGAGAAATGTGTTTATAATATGTATTAGATGTTTTAATTGATGCTACTTCATCACAGATGAAATGTTCTGCCTTGGTTTGCAAGGCAGATGACAGAGAGATATTCTTATCTCTGTGCAGATCACTGCATCTGTCGAGAAATCAGGTGGAAGTGTACATAAGCTGAGGGAAAGAAAAAAAAAAGAGAGAGAGCTTCAAGTATATGAGCATTTTTCTTCTGACTATTCTGAGGTTCTGTGTTTTTTCCCCACCAGCTTGCATACTCTGAACTACTTTCAAATCTAAAGAGAACTTGGAATTGTAGATATCTTGCATTAAGAACCAAAAAATCCACTCATGGTGAAAACAAATTTCATACCTATTCAGTTTTCAAATTGTTCAAGACTGGCAAAGTGTCTTTATTTGCTTCCATTTTCTTCATAGGCCATAATATTACCCTTCTATGGCAAAATCAATAAAAATGTTCTAAAACAACAGCAATCCTCCTTAAGAACTAGTGTCCTACAGAATACCACTATGCTATAATAGTAATGAAGTTTTACTTTGTACTGTCTCCATGATTCCAAAGAAGATATTTTGTGTATACAGAGAAAATATGAATGTCTAGAGAGAAGAAGAGTTGTGAGGCTCTGGAATTTTCCATGTTTCTTTTTTTTAAATCTACTACCAGATTTTCAATCCTCAAATTGATTCCTTCCTTCCAGATGCTTTCACTCTGGAGATGCCCTCTTTTTTTGTTAGTTGGATCTCTACCCAAAAGCAGCACAAAAAAAAAGGGTTAAAGGGCTTTCAGTTCTTAAAGCAGCTTTATGTTGAGAAATTAAAGGTCAAAGCAACAATAAGAATGCCAGTACTTAGTCACAGACATCTACTGACACATCATTTTCAAACACATACTGCAATTCACTCCCAGAAGGACAGATACTAGACTAGGAATCTCTTTGAGCTCTCACACAGTGACCAAAACATGAAAAAAACCATGTTAATCTAAGCTTGGCACATCAGACTAGTCTAAGACATTCAAGTTTCTACAATTCAAATTGAGAATTAATCAGATTCAAACACCTCTGAAATACTCTACTGTGTGACAAAGCACCCAATTGGAATTGGGTTGACTAGGAAAAGCAAAGTTAGAAAAAAAAAAAAAAGGGAGATCCAAGAAAAAAAAAAACAAACAAAAAAAACACACCACCACCACAAAAGCGTCAACAGAAATAATACAGATTTAATAGACCATAAAATACCAAGTGTCCACTAAGAAGATGACCTTTTCTCAAACACTGGAATAGAAGAGCCATAGAAAAAAAGCTGTAAAAAACCAACTTCAACTTTACAAAATCCATTTATGTGAGAATAAACAACAAAAGACATGACCTTTTCGTTAGTATTAAATAAACCAATACCATTGTACTAAAGTCTTCCTTCTGAACATGAGTTATTGCCTGACCTTTTTTCTTCCACTGCAGATACAAAGTGCTTAGGCAAGCATTTAAGCTCTTTTCTACTTCCAAAAGCCAATATACAGTACAGAGTTTTATGTTGCCATAGAGGAAAAAACATGCACACCTTTTTTAACTTCAGCAAGGGAGCTTGTGTACGTACCATCAGTGTGCTCTGTACAGTCAACCTGAAAGCTGAGCCTAAGACCACACAGATCAGCAATCCACAACACTGCTGCTGTAACAGGAGCAGATATTTGACCTAGGGACCTAGAGAGCAAAAGCAGTTAAGGCTGGGATACAACTAGCTATAAAACAATACCACTGTAATTCTGCACTAACATCTCTCTCCACAGACACATCCTGGAAAAAGCTATTTGGTATAACAAGCAATCTATGTACAAAACAAACAAAAAAAGCATACAATGTACAGTGTTAATGGGAACCCAGAGAAAGCCTTGTTTTGCACATTTGTTAATATACTCATTACCTTCAGGTTTCTGGAATTTATTGTCCTTCTTGTACCACATGCATCCCTGTGCTGTACTCAGACCTTTTACTGGATAAGCTGTCTCTAGGAAATCAGGGATCTTCGGGGAGAAATCAGTGGCTGACAGAAACACAAAATGCAGCTTGTTACACTTCAGATCTGCCATCCAAGTATGCAGTTTTCTAAAACAATTTTTTCCTCTCTTTTTCTTTTACATCCCTTCACTATATTAAGTTGTACGCAACTCTTTAGACACAAAAATAGCTAATTTAGTCCCACATCAAAGCTCTGATCCATGTGTCAATCTTCAAGCAAAGAGCAAGTGGATTATTATTCAAAATAGCATTTCTGGTCTTTCTAAAACAGTGTGGCTAGTCAGAACCAATAAACAAAAGTCAGATTTCTCCAGCCACTTACAGGTTATTCTGAATGCACTGGGACTTTTTTTATTTCACTCTGCCTTAAAAATACAGCAAAGAAACAATGCCAGTTAGAATTTGATACAAAATTAAAATGTGTAGAAACCTTTATCAAATTAACACAAGTAAATACCTTTCTAAAGCAGGAAAAACATGAAACGCACAGATCATTTTTCATTTATTGCCTATTCTCATGCAGAACAAAATAGGGAAAAAGGCAATGACAGAATTCAATGAGGCACTGATGTCTCACCTACATGTTTATTTTCTTCTGGAAGACATAAGTCTGGATTTAACCTTAAGTCCACACAACTGCCCAGTACTGCTCCATGTCTGTGAAGCACATGAGGAGAGAAGGCTCTGGGGACACCTCATTGTGGCCTTCCAGTATTTGAAAGGAGTGTATAAACAGGCAGGAGAACAACTGTTTACAAGGGTGGATAGTGATAGGACAAGGGGGAATGGTTTTAAACTGAGGCGGGGAGGTTTAGGTTAGATATTAGGAGGAAGTTTTTCACACAGAGGGTGGTGACACACTGAAACAGGTTGCCCAAGGAGGTTGTGGATGCCCCATCCTTGGAGGCATTCAAGGCCAGGCTGGATGTGGCTCTGGGCAGCCTGGTCTGCTGGTTTCTAAGGGAATTATAACATGAAATGCTATCAAAATACAGAAAAATAGATGGTTAGGCCAGCTGCAAATATACTGTCCTCAGACTATCCTAAGTCATTGGAGGTACCTCTTCATTCCACTGTTGTGTTTCAAGCTTCTTGCCTAAGATGTTTCTTTTCAGTTTTTTAATCAAAGTGAGTTTTGATTGCAACTCTCCTTTCTTTAAACTTTTAAGACTAATCTATTTAATCTGCTCCCTTTTGGCTGACAAAAGTTCAGAATCAGTGGACCTTTCTACTGCTCTTATGATAAAGAACTGGATTAAAGACTTACCTGTTATCTGGGCTCATTCTCTGCAACAATTTCATATACTGGAACACAACACGTGCAACCTGAAGATGGACAAACAAATAGCTTCTTATGTCATCTGGGCATGGCAAAATGACCAACTCCTCTGACTATTTCAGACAGACTTCTTGTGGACACAATCCTCCCTTAAGGAAAGGTTAGAGGAAGGCTAAAGGTTAGGTCTCTCTGCCAGCTGGGGAACTCCTGAACAGTTCAGCAGATCCATATAACAAAATCAGATTCCATAACATTCACAAGTAGAATAAAGCACTTATCTAATTTCTAACTGAAGAGCTTGAAACCTGCGCGGACACAAGTCACTGCTTACATAGCACCAGCATTCTGTGTGATCTGCCTAGAGGACAATTCACAGGGTTAACTTCAGTCTAAACATGCCAAATTCTTTACATATCTCAAAAGAAATCACCGGAAATAAACTTCCACATGTCAGCCTTTGTAAATTCCTGTAGAATTTTGACCTTTCCCTTAGGTGTGAGCCTGGAGTATCACACCTCATCCATCTCTTCCTTCCCCCCCTCGTGGTGACTGTACGCCTTATATCTCACGTGCACGCAGCAAAGAGCGTCCTTAGGCCCAACGGATACCGCACTGTGAGCGACTCTCAGAAGGGCGCACTTCACACCAGGCCGTGGCTCTGCCCACCACCTTCCTCCCAACAGTTCACCACCACGCCGTCGGCTCTGGAGGTTCAGAACACTACAGGGAAGGTCGGGCAAGGCGTGAGGGCGGCACTAGAGTCCCTCACCCGCAACTCTTCGCGCCGCAGGGGTGCCCGGTGACGTCGGGGTACCCCTATCCCGACGCGGGCAATATGGCGGCCCGGCGCCTCCCTCAGGCGCGGAGCTGCAGCAGCCCTCCCCGCCGCAGGGGGGCGCAGCGGTCACCGCGGCCGCTCGGCTTCGTGGGCGGCAGCCAATGGGAGCGCGGAGAGGGCGCGGCAGGCCGGGCTCGTTCCGCCCCGCCCTCCGTGACGCACTCGGCGCGCGCCGTCGCGGTGCATGCCGGTGCGGTGCGGCGGGACCATGGCGAGCGACTTCTACCTGCGGTACTACGTGGGGCACAAGGGGAAATTCGGGCACGAGTTCCTCGAGTTCGAGTTCAGGCCGGACGGTGAGCGGGGCGGAGGGCGGGGCGGGAGCTCTGGTGCCGCGCGCAGCCGGGCCCGGCGGCCCTAACGCTCGTCCTCTCGCAGGAAAGCTGCGCTACGCCAACAACAGCAACTACAAGAACGACGTGATGATCCGCAAAGAGGTGAGGGGGCGCGGCGGGGGGCGCGGGCCGGCCGGGCGCCGTCATACTGAGGTGCTGCTTGCAGGCCTACGTGCACAAGAGCGTGATGGAGGAGCTGAAACGGATCATCGACGACAGCGAGATCACCAAAGAGGACGACGCGCTGTGGCCCCCGCCGGACAGGGTGGGCCGCCAGGTCGGTGTGCTGCTCTGCTTAGGGCTCTTACGGTTCTTATACACGCTAATTAAAACTGTAATTGGACTTCTTAGCCAACCCAGCACCACGTATAGGAAGGAGAGCTAATTCAATTAAGAGCTAATTCAAACCCTAAATGGCAATTTAGCTGTGAGAGTTAATGTGAGTCACAGGCACGGTGCGTTCGTACCCTGCAATAAATAAAAGTTGTCACCCTGCTGCTTACATTTTTCTAATGCCACAGCGTGGCAGTCTGACATGATATCATCATTTGCTTTGCAGGAGCTTGAAATAGTAATTGGTGACGAGCACATCTCCTTCACCACGTCAAAAATTGGTTCGCTCATCGATGTAAATCAATCCAAGTACGTACTCTGCTTTTGTGTTGCTGTTGTCTTTATGTAGCCTTCTATATTAAAACTTACAGATTATTAGGTGCTTATACTTTATGTGGTTTCAAACTACTGATCAGCTCCTGGAAGCACAGATACTCTCTGCTGCAACATAATTAACCTCATGTCATTGCTTGATAGATTTTCAAATTCACTGAGCAGCTAAGCTTACCATAAGAACACCTGTTAGATGCATTCAGAGAGTCAGAGTCTGAACTAAACCGTCGCTGGCCTGTGTACATCCATGTTTCTAACAGAACCAGGACATCTGTATTTCAGAAAAGGCTGGATATTTTGCTTTGTAAGTGCAAAGCGATGCTACTGCGCAGTGATAAAAACGCACATCCTATCAAGACTTAAAACATTCTGCATTCCATGTTTTTAAGGTTTATCAGTTGATACAATAAATTAATGTTATGTCAACAATGACCCCTGAAAAATCCTGCTACAGGCTTTTTTTTTTTTTCCATATATATAGACTTATGTATAGATTAATTCTAAAAACTGCTCTTACAACCTAAGTCTTCTTTTTTCTTTCCTTCTATTATGCACTGCAGGGATCCAGAAGGTTTGAGAGTGTTCTACTACCTGGTCCAGGACCTTAAGTGTCTAGTCTTCAGTCTTATTGGACTACACTTCAAGATTAAGCCAATCTAAATCAAACTGAAGTTTGTACTGCAGTGTCTGTACATGGGGGGGAGTGGGGATGCTTTTTCAATTCCTTGCTTCTTCAAGCCCGAAGCTTTTATGTATGCTAGAATTTTTTTTTTACAAACTGTAAGTGACTGTCTTAATAAAACGTTGACATTGGTATTTTTAATTTAATATTTCTGGTGATAAACTGACTTCCTAACACTTCTTTTATCATGGTGCATATAGGATATGACATTTCAGTTGTATCACAGAGATATATTTCACTTCTCTGTGCAGTGGCAAGTGACAGAATTAAGTGAAAATACACTTCTGTCAGCTGGCAAGATAAACTTGTTACTGTTGCTAAGGCCCAACCAAAATAACTCAAACCCTGGCTCTGCAAATGACGCATGGTTATAGCAAAAACATAAGATGTAACAACCTCCTGCTGTACCCACTTGCCTTTAGAGCAGAAGTAGACAACAGACTGTGCAGGGACCATCCAGGGTCTTCACAGATGATCTCACACAGATTCCCTTGGAAGAACTGAAATTAAAAGTGTAGAACAAGTTCAAGACCAGCACACCTTTTGTGTAGCATTGTTTAAGAGGCTTGGAGGAAGACTAAGCACATATCTCAAAGTGGTAAGTTTTGTAAGCACTATAGAAAGTGGATGGATAGCTTTCCTTACTAATGTGAACTTAGCCTGATGTGTGCTGGTGCCCACCTCACAGTGAGTGGAGGTGGGTTGTCTTGCTTTTAACTCCCCAGTTAAGCTTGAAAGTGAAAGAAAGTCAATGTAAGATACAGAATTTTTGAGCCATGGTGAAGCTTGCTTAAGACTTCTGCAATATGTAAGGTACACTAACTAAAACTGTGCTTCTTTCAAGTGATTTTTGTGCTGTAATGGGAATCTTATCAAAACCAGATCCAGATTAGCCAGCAATTTTCTTGTAGCGTGGCAGGTTTAATTTAACTTTAGCCAAGTTGTAATGTGAATTAAGAGACTTTTCTGCGTATTGTACAGAGCTCAAGAAAAGCAACTTTAGATGACGATTCTACAAGGGCTGTTATGTGCCTTACCTGAGGCACAGCATCAGCTGTGGCTGAAGGTACTACAGAGCATCTGGGTCAATCCTCTGAAGCTGAAACCCGTGTTATTTGAGTAGGAAGCGTAAAGCAGTCCTCCATTCTGCTCAATATACCAAAAATGCTGTTTCCTACAAAATACAAAAGAGCAGATTGGCTTGCTCATTACTGAAGTTCATCTTACACTTAAGTCCTCCGCCCAAGCCCTCCCTCAGGTTTTCCCTTCTCTGGCCACGATCTTTGCTAGACAACCCTCTGCCTCGCTGTCCCCACACGCTCCCGTTCCTCCCCACCAGCCTTTCCATTTGGCCCCGCTCCCGCTCAGGGCGGTGTCAGGCGCGCCGCCGGGCGCCATCTCGACTGTGGGCATCTCGGCTTCAGGTCGGCAGAGAGCAGGGGCCGCCATCTTGACTGAGGGCAAAAGCGCACGGCCGGGAGTGTGCCATGGGGGTAGGTCGGGGCCGCGGCCGGGCCGAGCCGGGCCGAGCCGAGCCGAGCTGACGCGCTGTCGCTGCCTCTTGCCTTGCAGAGGATCGGGCTGCAGCTTCGCGCCACGTTGGAGAACATCACCCGGCTGCGGGCCGAGGGGGAGGACTTCCGCTGGTACCTCAAGGTGCGGGCTGCGGGGATCGCCGCTTTTAGCCTGAAAACTGGCGGGCGCGGCGCTCTAAGTGTCACATCTGTCCCGGTGAGCCGCAGAGCTGCCGGGCTGCTCCCCGCGCGGCGCAGGCAGGCTGCCACAGGAGCCGCTCACGGCTTCCTCATGCGCGGGTGGCACCGCGCGCTGTTTGCCACAGCGGGCGGCCTCAGTCTGAAGGCTACAGCCTGCGCTGCTGGGGCAGATCCTGAGCTAAGTGACAAGCTGCGTGCTTCCCATCTTCTACTCGATGGCTGCATCTTGCAGTACGAGTTCCACCCGATGCACGTAAATTCTCTGATTTATGTTATTTTTCAGCTGAAATGCGGGAACTGTGGTGAGGTCTCTGAGAAATGGCAGTACCTCCGCTTGATGGTGAGTTTCCCCCTGCTAACCTGCATCAAACGAAGAAAACAAACCTGCCTTGTACATGCAGTGAACGTCAGGGTGTGACAGATGCACATCAGATGAAATAGCTCCTGGTAATAGCAGCCATATGCAGTCGGGAACAGCTGTTGTATTTTGTATTCAAAAAAATATATGGAGACTTAATTGAAATAAGCCATTGGAATGGTGACTCGGTGATAAAATGTTGACATCTGCTTTGAAAAGCCACCTTTCTGTAAAAACATCAGTTGAAAACAAATTTTGAAGTGATATTAGGATAAGTTTGTGCTTAAGGAATGTTGTTGGAGAAGGTGAGGCAATTCGGGGGGAGTTCATGCTGGATGAGCATTTGGAAACTGAAGAAGCAGAGTAAATTTGTCAGGGATGAGAGAAGGCTTTGTTATTAGAAAGACATAATCATCTCTCTTCTGAATGCATTTTGAGTTATTAATGCAACACACCTTTGTGTACAGGACATAACTATATCATTATTCAGTCTTTTAAATCTAGAACAGTTACTGGAGAATTACAGCTTTCTGAATTACACATCTCTAGTTTCTAAAAGCCTTCTCAATGCAGGATTTTTAAAAAGCAAAAGCTTGAGACAATTCTTGTAAAACAAACAAGCAAACACAAAAGCTGTACCTTTGCAGGGGCTTCCAGTGGCTCAGCTAGAACGGAATTATGTCTCCACTGTTATGATTTGTAGGACAGTGCTCCCCTGAAAGGAGGCAGAGGAAGTGCCACTATGGTGCAGAAATGCAAGCTGTGCTCCAGAGAGAACTCCATTGGTATGTGCTTAGAAATCTAAAACACATCATCCATGTTATAATTTTCTCCTACATTTATTTTTCAGTTCCAATTTTTGTTTGAAATGTGTTTTTTTTTTCCCCCCCAAGTACACTGATATTTGAGTACCCAGCTGATACTATCATGCTTATGAAGAAAATTGAGAGGTCAGTTGGTCATCAACAACATAAAAAAAAGAACTTAAGTCCACAATGTTGGACAGTAGGAATAACATGGCTGGATTATTTTTTCTTTCTGAGATTCAAGCAAATAGTCTGATTTAAAGAGATGCAGCTACTTGACTAGCTCAGGCTGTCACATCTGATTTTTCCACTGTATTCTATCTTTCTCTAATTGGGCTTTTCTCTCTATTGGATGTAAGTGCTGCTTTATAAAGACATCTAAGAAAAGAAACATTAGAAAAGTGTAGGATGAACTAGGCTGTTAGTTATAATTCCCATTAAATACATAAAACAGTAATAAACTAAATGCATGGTTATCAGAGTTACTTGCGGGGTTCTTTGCTGCTCTGTGCCCTACAAAGGATTTCCACAAAGGCAGCTTTGGGGGTAGAGCTGGAGATACTCAGACACAAAAAAAAACTGTACTGATGTTCCTTGCAGCTGATAACCCTCCTGATGAGTTCAGGTTTCTGCATGAACAGAACTCTCATCCTTTAGGTCATTTTCCAGAAGTATCATTTGAATTTTTATTTCTGTTACTTTATTTGTAGGGTAACAAAATGGTGTAATGTAAACTTCTCTAGAGGAGCAAGAATAATTTTATCCTTTGAAGAACAACTGCAGGAATTGCTTGCTTATTTTGTTTCTTTTATTCTTAAGGATTTCTTTTCAAAAGGGAGAAATAGCTGGGACTTGGTTTGTGCTATATTCTGAAGATGTGCTGCCACTCACTTTTACACATCTATTGTTTTTTTGTTTTGTTTTTTTAGATATTTTAAGTCAGACCATCAAACCATATAATGTAAGTTTGTTTTCTTTTATGTAAGTGAAATATGAGTAGATATTAATAGTATTCCCAGTTCTTGCTGTATCATCACATTTCTCTTTCAAGAATACATAAACTACATATGTTCATGATATAAAAATTTGTCTCTTGTAGACTTCTGAACAGTAAAATTTGCAGTTAACAGTAGCTCAGTAATGGTTTGACTCTTCCACTTCAGTCTCAAATATAGAATAATCTGTGATACATTTCACAAGCAAAACATGAAACTATATTACTCAAATCACAGGCGATTGTTTCCTTTTAAAGGCTTCCTTGTGGCAGAGCGAGACATTCAGTTAATTACAACCCATTAAATAAGCCATAAGATTTTGCTGTCACTTGGGACATCAGAGTTGATAGTACTGCCTTTAAAGCAGTCCATTCCCGGAGTAACACCCAGCAGTTTTATTAGCTGAAAACTAACAGTATTCTGACTCAATTATAGGCTGAAGACAGTGAGAAATTCAAGACAATAGTAGAGTTTGAATGCCGAGGTTTGGAACCAGTTGACTTTCAACCACAGGTGAGTTCATACTTGTGATTTGTTTATCAGTTTTTAAGAGCACTTGCAGATGCTAGAGCAATTAAAATATAGTTTTTGAAATGCTGCTGCTCTTCCTGGAATGCCCTGGACCTCCCTGGTTTGCCATCTTCTCCAGAGTACTTTATTCAACTTCAGAAAATTACAAACAGCTTAAGAACTCTAGAATTCTTTGTACTTGAGCTCCAGTAGCATAAAATACCCCTGGAGTATTCATAATGCCTTACTCATGGCTGAGCATCACTCGTCTGAACTGATCTAAAAGGTATTCATTGCTCAGGTTATTGCAAATGGGAGTCTTCCAAAGGGGAATCACAGGAGCATGCAGATAGCCACAGTCAGGGGAGCTCCACTTTGGTTATTGATACATTACAAAAAAAATAAGTTCCAGATATGAACAGTCATCAGTATATGACCTCTAAATAAATCTTGCAATTTGACATCAAAGCTGTACGAAATGTATTGGTAATCTTCCATTGGAAACTTGCACAGACCAAACTTGAGGAATGCAGTTGAAGGCTGTTGCAAAGCACACTTCAGGGTTCAGAGTCAAAGGATTTCTTCATTACCAAGCCAATTCCTAGTGATTCATTTGCTTGTGCATGGTCATGCTGTATGCGATCTAACACCTTACTATATTTAACCAGATTAGGTGTAAATAGACTGACAAATATAAACCTGTCTTATCCTCCCCTCAGATTGTGACACTATGCTAACAGATGAAAAAAGCTGATCCTACAAGGAATTAGGTATAAATGAAGTCACCACAGCATTGTGCTGCAGGAGGAGGTCTTCATTTTTAATTCAAGTCCATCTTTTTGAGCAACAGAAGGGATCTTTGCTTATTCCTGTTTGAAGGCTTTGATGCCAGACAGAACTAGGAACTTGAACTTCAAGTAAAAATCTATGAGAAACCTCTGAGATGCAGGAGACATTTACGTATCAGCATCCTACCTGTCACTTTTATCTGCAGAACAAAGACTTCAGAGCTTTCTTAAGCTTTTCATATAATATTCCCTAAGTGTAGTCTGTGCACTCGACTGGAGAGTACACTTGAGTCCCTGAGCAGATTCTTCAGTGAATTTCCTGATGCCCAAATAAATAAATGTATATACTTCTGTGGTTCCTTACAGTTCTATAAACTATGTTATATTTTATATGATCCAAGCCAGCCTGCCTGCCCTGCAGTCTAAGGGACTGGCCATAGCATTACTGTACAATTTTTTTTTTAATAGATACAAACAAACCATCCCTGAGGTCAATTTAGTATGGAGGATTCTTTACAGAATTTCTCTTAAACCTTCAGCTTCTTTGCTTTGTGCCAACATTAATAGTTACACTGGTAGCAGATGTGTGTCAATATGCTGTTTTAAATTAAGTCAGCAGGAATTTTTGCTTTAACTGTTGGTCCTTTGCCTATCAGCAGAGGGCAGGCGAGGCATTGCAGTTCTCACATTCCTTCAACAGAGATTAAATGAGTCTATGCTTTGACGCCAAAGCTCTAAGAACGTGCCTAGTATAGAAGCTTGAAATTCAGTCACGTAGCTTGTTGTTCCTTGGAGTGCTGGTGAATCTCTTTTTCTACTCTTTGTTCTATATTTCAGCTCTGCGTTTTTCACCCATGATGGTGATCTTCGTCCTCAGCTGTTGCAATTCCTTTCAGTTGGGTTTCTGACAATTATGTACAGGGCATATTTACTCTGTGCCTTGCAGATAACTCACCTGTTGTCATGTCTGCCACACTGTTTCTGTTTAACTCCCAAACACTTAACCTTCCACTAAATCCTAAAGAATTTTACAATCATGTGGTTTACTTCACACATTCCTACACAGCGAAGTGTCTGTTTGGTACTATACAAGATTTCTATATCAAAAAAGCTGGTGCAGATCCCTAGCAGAAGACCAAGAAACAACCTTTCCTTCTTAGATGCTTCTCAGTAAAATTCTACAATTAGCAGTAGCACTACAAGAAACCCCCCTGTATACTATTGAAATGGTTAAGATTTTTAAGTTTTCTTCAAAACTAATAAAGCTTATTTTACAGCTTGAAAACTGTAAGCCCTACTATAACTGATGTTTAGAAAAATCAGAAAGAACACCTTGTTCTTGTGCTACACCCCTCTGATATGTCATTTCCTTCCTACAGCTATTCCTATCTTTTCCTTCACCTCTTTAAAAACAGTAACAGTAGCAATAGTGATGAACTCTACTATTTGGATGCTATTATCTGTTCAGTTAGCTAACTGATCCTCCTTGCACTCAAGGCTTGCTAGTTACTTTTATACCTAAATCCAGTATAGGCTACTTCCTTCTCTACAGCAGCTTGGATTATGATCATTTTTAAACCAGAACAACTAACTCTTTTCCATACTTTTTCTAGATTTTCTCACAGTAAGTTTATTACGTAGCTATTTGATACATATAATGCCAGTATAAATTCTAAATACAAATTAAAACTATTAGTAGTAGGATGCTGATAGAACTCAACTTCACTTCTTAAAGTTTATCTAAAACTACTGAAAGTACTTTTCTGGTAACAAACATAAAAGAGCAATATTGTTTTATTTTACACTATGTTTGTTTGTATCAAGACTTCCCATTTCACAACTGATAGGGAGAAGGGTCACAGCATCATGCTGACCTGCAGAGCAAGGGAAGGCAATGATACTGCCTTCTACTGGAATACAAACACTCTCACAAAAGCGTTTACCAATGTAGTGCAGAAGATAATAGAGGTACAAGTCACTCACCCTTTCTGAAGGTTGCTGAATGCTCCAGAAGGGGTAATCTCCAAATAGAGATCCTGCTTCCTCAGCTAACTCTTAAATGAAAATGAGGAGGAGCAGACCCACATTCTACTCCTTCTGGTTGCCCAGGTGCATTACTTGCACCTGTGTGCCCTGGGTTAGCCACACCTTCTCACCTGGTAGTCAATCACTGGTTCAGGCCATGAATCCCCATACAAGACCCTTGTCCAGGTAACAGACTGGCTGTTTTTCCTACCTAATTTAGGTGAAATACAATAAAAATGTGCGATGTTACTTTCTTTAAATATCTCAATGTTCATACTTAATATTTTCTTTGTACAGCTTATTCTTAAAAACTTACTGCAAATGTGTTTGCAGGCAGGATTTGCTGCTGAAGGTGCAGAGTCTGGCACACCTTTCAATGACATAAACTTGTTAGAAAAGGTATGTTGTCTTAGTTTCATTAGTAATTCTAATTATCTAGCTTCTGTTCCCTATGACACTAGCCTGAAATATGTACCTTGCACATGAAAGGCTAGTTTTGCATTTTCATGTAGGTATGAGAAAGTCATAACTGGACAGAGAAACTACAACTGTGAATAACCAGCACTACTAACAGTTTCATTTTATCAGCATGCACTTTATATCTTGGGAGCTGACAGTGAAATGCAACTTATAAATCATTCAGAAATTTCAAAGAGCAAATACCCACAGTACTAAATGGCTGCTGTTATTCAGAGTGGTGAACTAATTTCCTTAGGATGTCTGTACTTTTTCCTCTGCATCGAGATATTAAAAAGTAAGATAAAGATACTCTCCTTCAAAGCACAGGATAATGACTCCAGCATTGCAAATCTTCCTTGGCTGTGAGCAAGAATCTCAAGGTCAAATCTGTTCCCCTATATCCTACTTGGCAGGGATCTGCTTGTCTGCTGAACCACATGACTAGAGCATTGTAAATGATAGATAATCCTTTCATCTGCCATGGTTGCTGTTTTGTCCACTGCAGGCTGCGGACTGCTTTTTTATTTTCTTTAAAGTTTGCTGAGATAAAAACACTGACACTAAAGTCCATTTAGGTCAGTCCTTTTCAGGTTAGTGTGCTCACTTCTCTAAAAAATTAGAATACAGCTTAGATTTATGTTGGAAGCACCACGCAATCAGCAAGACCCAAACTGTGAGTGAGGCTTAGCTTCAGTTAATTCCAGTCTCTGATTTAGACACTACTGTCATCTATTGTCTGTGGCTAATGCTATGAAATCTTAATTCCCACAGGATTGGAATGACTATGATGAAAAAACAAAGGAATCTGTTGGAATCTATGAAGTTACCCATAAATTTGTTAAATGCTGATGTTCACACTGCTAGCAAACCTTGGCATGCTTATTAATGAAGGATCTGAAAACATCAGAGAGAGCTTCACTGGCGTTATTTTTCACATGGCTGAACTTCACAAATAGAAACCTAAGTAAACTGTATTTACTGTCTGTGGAATGTCTAATAAAAGATTTTTCACAGAGAGCTTTGAGATGGTCTGAGTACACACTTAAAGTTATATAGATGCCTAGCTGAATTCAAATGTTTTCTTAATGTGTTTTTTGGGAATACATATGGTTGAGATAGACTGCTGCTTAACAAGTATTTAGATGACTCATTGCCTTGAAGTTTTAATTAGGTTTAATTAATCTCCAAGAAATACCCACATTCCATTCTCTAGCAAATAAGGTCTTTTCACCCACTACACCTAGGAGATGGCTAAGAGCATTGGTAAAGAGAGCGTGCTAACTGCTGAAGCAAAGATGTACATACTGAACTGTCAGAAAGCTATAAAAGACACAGAAGTGACTTTTCTGAAAATACTTAATAAGCTTAACTGCTATTGGCACTTATGCCTGTTACTCTTTCTGAAAATAAAGTTACCCTTCTGAATACGTTATCAGGTAAAGTAATTTCTAGTTGCAGACACTTTCTACTTCTTGGCAAGCACTCTCACAGCCTTGCACATTTGTTGTCATGTTTAAAAAATAAATACTTTCTCTTGTTAACTTCATTCAAAGACTTTTGCTCTGAGAATATTAGTTTCTTCATCTGCCAAAACTGTCCCTTCTTTGTTCAAACTGAAAGGATAATCCTGGTAAGTGTCAAACCAAGCTTCAAATACTTTTCAACTGAAAGCTACAACAGTACATCACAGGCTGCAGAGGAAAAAGCCCTGACAAGGAAAAGTTCATAAACCTTTGGGGTTATGTATTTTAAGTGTGTCTCCCTTTCCCCATGCTTGCAGTACATGCTGTGGTGTTGCTTACACTTCCTGCACTAAATAAAGATACCAAGCAAATTTGAAAGCTGAGATACACAAAAGAAGGGTAAAGGTGAATAGGTTTCTGAGCTCTGAAATTCACATCACATCCTACCAACATGCTCAGACTTCAAGTTCTACCAGTATATCTGGCTGTCCACAACACAGCAGACTACGCTGAAAGAAGCACACTGCAAGGATGGTTCATCAGACCAGCATAAAAACAATATGGTAGTTATGAAGGTTTAAAGACTGAGGAGTTCAAGTTATCTGTGCCACAATGAATTTTCTGCAAAAGGTGGAATTTCAGCAAAAGGCATCTGCATTTGACTCCAAACAACTTTGAGCTCCTTGGCTAAAAAGGTCCCTTTTGCTCCCACCCACTTTAGCTGCCAGAGTCTGAGTCAGGAACAGCAGGAAGAACTTGTCTGTACTGGTTTGATCTTGCATTCACAGTGTGATTAAGTTACAGTGATGTCTATGCTTAAGTTCTCTTGCTATCCTTTAGAGATTTCTGCGAAGACTTGGTCAAGTTCAGTGGTATTTCTTTTTGAAGGCATAAATGTACACAGCGAAAAAGCAGCAGATTATTGGACAGACTTCATGTATGGATGGTGAGAGACAACACTGCAAGAAGTATTCTTTTTAACCCTTACAAGAAATACAAGCTACTACTCATACTGTATAATCTTGACATGGTAATAAAGGAACTTTATAGTTACTAGTAGATAGCTTTATTACATCACAGTTTTTTCTAGTCAATTTAACAATGCAGTGGGTGATTGCAGTTTAGTTAAAGCCTCTCACTTCATTTTTCATTTCTCAAAAAGTTGTTATATTGGAAAGGCTTCAAACTGTTGAGGTACAACCAGTTCTGAAATTTATTTAAAGTTTAAAGAAAAAAGTAAGACCACTGTAAGCAAGCTTGCTGAAAGTGCAAATCACACTGTCAGATTTAATGCAATTGCTTGTATTATTTTAAAATCAAACAGTTTAAAGGTGCTGTTGTCTATCTGAAACTCACAACAAACTCAATGTTTGAGTTCATAAATTTGTTAACAGTGCTTGTTTATTCTAGATGTGTTTTAAAAACATGTTGATCTGTTTGGATAGATGGATCCACTACTTCATTTCAACACTGTGAATGTTTTTATTTCCTGAAATGCCTCAAGGTCTGTGCTTGATTTTTTTTACATTTAAAAATCAAACTGAATCTACACAGTGTTCAAGTTCAATGAAGATAAATGAAGCCAACTGAGCTTAGTAGTTTGTCATGTTGAATGCTGGTTGGTATGTACTGCCAATTAGAAAAAGTCTGCATTTTCTACCATAACTGTAAAGTGTTCCAGCTCTTTTATTAACTAACTACCAACCTTCTTGCCTTTTAAAACATTAAAAATATCTTCTAGTGACTTGTATATACACTGAAGGAATTCTTTACCATTCCTAGTTGGGTAAGAGGAAACATTGCAACCTATCCAATCATCATGAACTTGATATCCTAGTCCAAAGCCATCAGGCACCACTGGGCCAAATCCTCCTAATTGCACGGCTGGACTAACCAATGTGCTTGTAGAAATGATGTTGTAATTAAGCCGAGCGTAGGCTTGGTCTTGATAGAAATCAGGCAGAGCAATACCTTTGGATAAGGCCAAATAGCGCAACCCAAACAGATGTCGGTCAAATCCCTGACCTGTTGAAATAAAATAACAACTATTAGAGATTTCTGTGGGAAGTAAACTCACTTATTTCAACCTCACACTGCTCTTCAGCCACAAAAGGTCTGTAGAGCTCGGAGTTTCTTCAGTATTAGCAAGAAATATTTGTCATAACCCAGACATTCTGCACATCTAATGCACTTATTGGAAAGAAGGCTTGCTGTTGCACTGCTAGCCTCAACCAGAAATCATAATAGTAAACCAAACTGAATGTTAACAGTCAACTTTAATAATGCATCACATTATTTGATTAATTAGTTATCTGAGCATTTTCAGGTTGTTTAAAAAAGAGATAAAGGATTTCCTAAATTTATTAATCTAAAAAGGAAGAGGATTTTGCATCAATAGAAAAAGGCAAATTTTAGACTGTTGGCAAATGTTCAATAGTCTTCTTGAGTTTAATGAAGCAAGTTATACTTCTGAAAGGTCAATGCAAAAGAAAAATACCAGGAGTAGAACAGATAAGGAATCAGCTTGATTTGGAAGCTGTTAGAGCCTTAATACCCCTACTGGCATAGAATTGTGGACAAAAGCTGAAGTAGAAAAACCTTTGGGCACATTAACAGTGAACTAGGAGCTCAAAGGCATTCTCTCCCAGCTAAGAAATGCATCTCAAAGAACACACTTTAAACTGCAGCCTTCTGCTAGCTTTTTCAAGTTTGCATGAATATAAAGCCTCCATCAAAACTCACAGAATCATAGAATGGCCTGGGTTAGAAGGGACTCCAAGGATCATCAAGCTCCCACCCCTGCCACAGGTAGGGCCATCAACCTCCATATCTAATACTAGATGGGGCTGCCCAGGGCCCCATCCAACCTGGCCTTGAACACCTCCAGGGATGGGGCATCCACAACCTCTCTGGTATAAAGTACATTTTTACAGCAACCTTAACAGTTCAAAAACCAGAGTGTTTGGTATAATCCAACTTACCCATAGCAGCTTCTTTTGTCAAACGGCCATGGTACTTTGAGCATTCCACAATCAACTCCTGAAGCTCTTCTGTGCTATGCTTGGACGGTTCCCTGACAAAAGCCTCCGAACATTTCTTTGTATGGATAGAGGCAGGACGTACAGTTTCTGTGCGTCCATGTTTGAAAGCTGCAGTACTACAAGATTCATACGTAGCAACAGTCTGATTGTACTGCCGAAGAAAAGCCATCTGGAAGGCAAGCTGAGCCACCGCATCTGGGCTTACCTTCTTCTGCTTTAGCAGTTCCTTGCCCCCTTCGTGGAACTGAATCATATTAAGAGACAGTCCTTCTACACTGGCATCGAAATTCTGCTTTGCTTTGGTAATTCCTGCTTTTAAGGCATCATTCAGCTTGAAGTCAAGTTTCTGTACTGCTGTGGAAGAGTCTACAGAAGCAGGCTGGGACTGAGGGCTCACAGCTGGTACTTCGGTACTATCTTTAAAGACTTCATTCTGGAATCTGAGCACAGCCACACCATCGCCCCAGGAATGTTCAAAATTAATTCCTGCGGTGCCATCTTTAGCTATGATAAGATTGAAGGATTTGTCATACCAGCGGTTAGCAGCATCTCCATGCAACATAGTATGGGACAAGTGCACAAAGTCTTTAATGGGAAAATCATCTAAACTGAGACAAAACAGAGCAGAGTCTATTTTTCGAAGAGCTTCCTCATTGCCATTATCCAGTAGATCCTTTCTCAGCAATGCCCACGTATCTCTGTTTTCACTGGTGAGGTAGCCAAGAGGGAAGGCCGAGGCTGGACTGTTATCACTAAGGATGTATTTCAAGTGTGCTTGTATTTCTGAAGGTTTCAGCATATTTCCATCTTTATCAACAACATCAAATACATAAAAATTCCCCTTTCTCAGTACCAGCAAATGTTTTGCCTTTTCATCTGTATAAAGCTCATCTCTGTTGAGTTTAGGCAGCCGTGTTGAATTGAAAAGCCTGAAATACTGAGACATATCTAGAGGATATGCATTGACCATATAAGCACCAAACCAAGAAAGTGAAGAAGGCACGAATCGGATAATTTTCTTAAAGAGCTGAGTGTCACTTTTTTCGGGATTGAGGTGAAAAACTTCTGGTTCAAGATAACCAGCCCTGAAGGTCTTCATAAAACGTATAGCAGAAACAGTCATGTTTGTAGCTCGTATGAGTTGATCATTATATTCAGATTTTGGATCAGGATTAAAAGACATAAATGCATTAAAATTCAGAACGACAGGTTCACGTGCTTTTAAGTACATATCAAACCAGGGACCTGAAAACAGGGAGTTGAGAAACAGGTCAGAACATAAAAGCAGTATTCTGAATCAAACAGATGTTCAGAAAGTCAGTATCCTGCCCCAGTGATCATAAATAAATACCTACTGCAGCACATATGAACAGGAAAAACATAAACAATAATTCCTCCAAGGATTCTCCCAACCTCCAATCATGAAAAGAGTACTGCTGGTTACAAGTAAAAACACTGAATTTGGAGCTGTCTGTAGAAAGATTGTCAATGTTATTTACGATGAGGGAAAATTTCCTTGTTTTCTGTATGTCTCTAACAAATCACAACTTCTTTCTCTTTCTATCCACTGACACTATCAACACTGAACAGAACTGGCAAAATGATGAGGTTAGAGAGAACCTCAAGGTAATTCTTCCAGGCTGAGAGCAGACTTCAGGAAGAATTACATTTGATACCAGGTCTTTTAGACAGTCTCACTTCATTGTGTGACCTGCTGACATATCAAGAAGCACAAACGTGACACAAACGTTCTGTCCTTGCCATGACCACGGTCTAGCTCTAAAATGTGGTCATGCCTACACATTTGTCTCTGAGAAACAACATCCAGGAGTTAAGGCAGGAAGTGTGTTGGTTTTGTTTGTTCATTTGTTTACTTTAAGTAGGCTCTATTATTAACAACTTTGAACTCAGTAAGGTTTGGTACAACACACTGCTGGGAAGGAGACAAAGGAAGCACGTGGCCACTAAAGGCAGCTGATGGGCTGTAAGAAGGGCAATGGGCTAACTCAAGGATCTAAGTCACAATTATAATTCCTGGTCCTCACTGATTAGTAACCACATTCCTCATTGTCACATCGCCTTTTAACCTTAGTCTTGAAAGTTGAAAATGGGGGCAACTATACATATATTCAACTTGGTTTCTGAAATTATCTTTTATGAAGCCTAAAAAAAGAATTGTAACTAAATAAAAGGAAGATAAATGCTCTGTATTTCACTGACACAAAGCAGAAGCATGTTGGTTAGCCCTGACAAACACCAGAGTCAGCAGCAGTTAAAACTCCACCCACTGTACAAAGGGAATGGATAGTATGAGCTAATAAACTGAACAGCAGCTCATATGAAATACCCTGCTATTCTCTACAGAATTTGTGGTTGCTGTGCAACTTGCAAAGCCAACACCCTAATGAGTAGTCTCAGTAGACAGTGAGGACAACATGCAAACTCCTAATTCCATAGGTATTTGAGTATTTCCACCTTTGTTGCTACCCATCCATTCAAAACTTTCACAAGCTTATGTCCGCATTTGGAAGTCAGTGGAAGCAACAATTAGGAAGAACAACCTAAAAGCTATGTATACCTCCTTCTCAATTTGTATTCCTCTATTCTCATATTTCACTGTCTGTATCTCTCAGTTTCTTTTCCTCTTTATAAAAACATGAGTTTCTAGTTGTTGGCGTTTTTTGTTTGGCTGGTTTGGGTTTTTTTGGAGGGCACTGTTTCAAGTCCAGAGTACTGACTACTTCTGCCTCTATTTTCTGACCTCCCTCACAGTTCAGTTTTCTTGCTAAGTAACTTGGAATTACTTGAAAATCATCACTTTCATTCCCTTAATAGAGCTACCCATGTATTTGTAATACAGACTATGTCTGTGGTTGATCTCTTCCTTCCATTCTTTTTCACTCCAATAGCACCACTTCTTTCCCTCCCTTTTCAACTGCAGTGAGTATTCTCACTCAATTACTAGAGTATTCAACTTCAGTACTCAACTACTTGAGTATTTCCTATTCAAAAAGGGAAAAAATGTCTTTAGGACTGCAATTCTTGTTTCTCAACATTCCACCATCCTGAAGAATTTTGATGTAACATTCAAGTTACGTGAAGGGCCTTCTTCATTCTACCAAAGACTCAGAATTTGCACAAACACTGTCACAGGCAATATTCACAGCATGTTATTCTGTTGCTTATGCAACAGAGAGCTTAAGCTTTAGCCCATTTTATTTGTAGCATTATGAGCCGCCTATTACGAAGTATGATGACCTAAAGACTCCTTCTGCATCCAATTAGAATCCCAGATGCACACAGAATAACCTGAGTTGGAAAGGTTCACCAAAGATCACCAAGTCCAAACCCTGGTGCACACAGGATCACTCAAAAACCAAACCCTATGAGAGCGTGTCCCAGTGCTCCCTAAGCACCAGCAGCTAAGAACTGTACCCACCGCCCTCTGGGGCAGAACCTATCCCTCACCCCTACCTGATCCTCCCCTGAGGCAACTCCTCACTGTTCCCTCAGCCCCTGTTGCTGTCACCAGACAGCAGGGCTCAACTGCTGTTCCTGCTCTCCCTGTGAATAGCTGCAGTCACCACGACGCCTCCCTTCAGTCCCCTCTGCTCTGGACTGAACAAACCAAGGGACCCCAGCTGCTCCTCATACAGCTTGCCTTTTAGACCCTTCACCATCTTCACAGCTCTGCTGAAGCAGAGTATCCCTTGGCCAACATACCTGTGATGTAACTAGTATGCTTGTTCTGGTTGTCTTGAGCAACTAGTTGCTCATGTAGCTCTCTTCCAATTCCCTTTTCAAACTGATGAGCAAGTTCTTCAGTTTTCCTACAGCAATCAGTAAAAGATTTGAAATGCTTTCACAATTCATATTTTCAATATGTAACACTCAACTTTGAAGCAACAAATGATACTGCATTATGACTATCTTATTTGTCCATACCTGAACTGGTCATCATTTAAAAGAGGTTTCTGGGCGTTCAGATATCTCCTAATTGTATCTTCTAGTTTGGGAACAGGCAGTCTGAAGGAAGGGGAACAAAGACACTTCAGCAATGGCATTGGTGAGGTTTCAGCTTCTTGCACTGCAGTTACAATTTCTCTCCCCACTCCTCTATCCTTCCTTACACCTTTTATTATCTCAATGGCTTAGAAGTTCCTTATGCAAGGATGAGAAAAGGAATAGATAAATATGTCATCACAGCGTAATGCCCTCATGAGAAGCACAACTCGACTGCTGTTACTGCAGTGGAGGGTCTTAAGACCTTGCAGGCAACACAGCGACACAAACAGCTGCAAGGAGCAGCAGCCACGCAGGAGAGAGGTTTAATTTCACAGAACCGCCGAATCACAGAATATCCCGAGTCGGAAGAGACCCGTAAGGCCCACCGGGTCCAGCCCCGGCTCCACACCGGCACCACGTGCCGTCCGCGGGCTCCTGCATCGCCATTCTCTTGCACCACCAGTATCACCGTAAGCTTCCTCTCTGCCCTAACACGAAACGGATCAGTTCCACAAACAGCCAGCGAGCCCAGCCGGCCCGCGGCCGAGCAGCAGCACGAGGAAAGACACCCGCCCTCTGCTCACAGCCCGCCGGCCGCTCCCGACCTCAGCCCGCGTCCCCCGCTGCCCGAGGACGCTCCTTCCAAGGCCCTGCCTCCCTGAGGAGCCCGCGGGGCCGCCGGCCCACCGGGGCAGCGGCCCGCGGTACCTGGGCAGGCTCTTCTGGTAGTGCATGGTGGGCACGATGCTGCGGTGCAGGAACTCGGCGCTGCTGTACGCCCGCCGCCAACAGCACAACGCCACCCGCCCCGCCGCCAGCTGCCGCGCCGCCATGTTGCCCGGTCACCCGCCGTGCGGCGCCGCCCCGCTCCTCCCGCTGCCGCCGCCCGGGCCGGGACTGAGGAGCGCCCGCCCCGCAGACGGGGACTCCGCGGAGTGCGGCCGCGGCCGGGCCGTGAGGGGCCGGAGGGCCGTCTGAAGGGCGAAGGGTGCCGGCTGCGGTGCTCGGGGTTGCGGTGCTCGGGGTTGCAGTTCCGCCGGCAGCGCTCAGCTCGGGAAGATGTGCTGCGTTGTTTCATGTGGAAGGTGCTTGCGCGCGTACCGTAACGGCAGCAAAGCTGTCTGCCTTGTGTCTGCAACCAGAGGCACTACGGGTTCAGTACTTTCTTGCATAAGCATTAATAAAATTTTACATGGCTGCGTTGTTTTGTCTGCACTCCGATTCACCATACAAAATCCATGTATTTTTTCTGCTTTGTGTGTGTGTGCCCATGTGCCTTACAGACCACGCGCTGTTCTGTTCCTGCTTCCAGGAGGACGCTTTGCTGACCCTTGAGCTCACTGTTCGCTCGCCCCTTTGCTCACACGTGGGCACGTACCCACACACTGCCTCGCAGTATAAAACAGGGCACTGCAAATACTCGAATGTGTTCTGTGGAGCATTTTCCATAAAGATACTGAACAATCTCTCAGTAGCTCGGGCTCTGCAGCAGCATTTCAGTGAGTGCAGCATGGTGAGCAGTCATGGCTCTGTATTTTGGTCATAAAAACAGCACTGGTACTGAGTGCAGACACGGTGAAGGAAAGGAAAGCAATCCGCATGGCTTACTCTGATAATCCTCTGAAAGTAAATTGGCCCTGCTCTAATCAACAGAGTGGTGGAAGAAAAAGTGAAATCATTTTGCTTCCAGGATAATAGATGCCAAATGCCAGCAGCTTTCCCTTCTGTGTTTCAGCGTACCACTGGTTTCTGATCCATGCATGGTTCTTATGCTGCACCTTCATTCTTGTTTTGGTCAGGAAAACAAAAAAATCCAAGCCTGCTTTAATTAACGAAGTCTAGTTTTACCTGGCTTGCCCTGTTGTGATAGTCCAGTTTAAAATGTCACCCACTCTGCCCTGCACAGAAAAACAGCGCGGTAACGTTCCTTCTCTGTGTTGGTGAGCATGACTTATGCTGCTCCTTTGTAAGGGTGGACGGCCAGACCCCAGACTGGGAAGGCCAGGGGATGCACTGTGAGCATGTCACTTTGTTTTGAAGCAGTCTTGTTTTAGAAATACTACTGCATTCCGTTCTAATTTTCCAGAGCCCCCTAATCTTCTTGCAGGCTCTTAATGATGTAGTCGATAATAGGATTGTCGGTATTAATTTGGAACAATAATGCCAGCTGCTTGCTTGGTGGCGATTGGCAGAGGGGTGACCTTGCAGGTCAGCTAAGCAGAACTGGAAGTGCTTTGATCTGATCTATACAGAGCGAGGTCTGTTCCTCTCCAACAAGAGGAGCGAGTGGATTCTCCCTCCATGGGATGCTGATTCCTCTCCAAGGAGCACGGAGGACACCATGGCGGTGGCTTTGGATGCGATCCTCGCTCGGATCAAGGATGTTTGTAAAAGGAATGGTTTGCTCATCCTCTCGGTGTTGTCGGTCACCATTGGCTGTCTCCTTGGGTTCTTCCTCAGGACGAGGCGGCTCTCCCAGCAGGTACGTGTGGCACCACAGAGTGCATCACCGCAGGGAAAATACTTACATAACAGAAAGCACAGCAACTTGTGGAACTTCAGGATGGATTTTTTCAAGATAAAAAACATGTCTGCGTGCTTGTTCAATTTGTGTAATTTGATTTGTTTGTTAATCTACACGCTGCTCCTTGGGGCTTTTCACAGTTCTCAGACTGTGTATGGCAAAGGTTCTGGTCTTTAAGACGCTAATAAATCCAGCACAGCCCCATTGTAACAATGTGAGTATGAACAATAAGTGACACAAATGTTAGAAACAGTATGTTTGTTGGATTCTATATTAGTCTGGAATGTGTATGTATAAAGAAAACTCGGGCAATAATTTTCACCATCAGGTGTATGGAAGTAGAGATGTTTGTGCTACACTGATGGTATTTTGTATTAATAAATATGAGATTTCCCATTGTTAACAGACCATGCTATTAAAGTCCCTTGGCAATTTCTCCTCCAGTGTACTTCAGCTAAGCTCTTTGCAGGTATTTGTTTCTTACTGCTGTATCAATCTGTCAGTAAACAGGACAACAGACACTGCTGAATGCTTTGAGCACACGATGTAAATCTCAGTTAAAAATGATGGCACTTAGTAAACACAATACCTTAAAACAGTTCTCTATTCTGCTGCCCTATCTGCAGTCTGAACACTTTTTGTGTTCACTCAGTAGCTTCATATACAGCTAGCAGAACACATGAAATGCAAAATAAAGGGATTATTCAGGGCAAACTATTCAAGTAGTTCCCAGGAGGCAGCATATTTCATTTTTGTCTTCCTTTGCAAAGGAAAAATGCTGTGTGTGTTGAATTACAATATGTAATTTAATTAATTTAAAAATAGTCTTTTAAAGCGTACAGTCTTTGCCACCTTATCTACTAGAGCTGCAGATTTTACCTGCTCATACCACTTCACCCACAGCTGTAGCAGGACTCACAAGGGCAGGCTGTCTCAAAACAGTAAGCATCTCTCTATGTATTTCCAGGAAATCAGTTATTTCCAGTTTCCCGGTGAGTTACTGATGAGGATGCTGAAAATGTTGATTCTCCCCCTGGTTGTCTCAAGGTAAGTGAAGACAGTGCTTGTTCCAATACCAGTGAAGTTTCCTAAATAATGCATGCAGTGACCACTGTTTTTTAATTGAATAAATGTTGGAGAGCCAGGAACTGCTGTACATTTAGATTTAAAGTAGAGATATGACCATCGTTTTTAATCAGTAGGAACATTTCTCTAATACTTCATACAGGTACCATAGAAATAGAAGTTAAGTGTTTGGAAAACATTTGCCCCACCGTATCAAAAAGTCTACCTTAAGTTTAAACAATTGAAATAATGCACCACACAAAGAAGATGAAAAAGCACATTTAGTTTATAATCTTTTGCAGTGCTTTGAGAAATCTGCTGCAGAGTGAGAAATACTGGGGAAAAAAACATACATCCAGTGAGTTACTGATGTATGCCTGGCTTCAGGTGGAAGTGAAAGTGGTTTCTTAATACATTAAAGGCGGAAGCTTGAATGGTGCTACCTTGCTGGTGCCAGAGTTAATGATCTAGATCCCAGTGCTCAGGATGCTCAACCAGCTGCCTTTGGAAAGCTTTTCTCCCCTTTAAATTTATGTCTTCCAGTTGATTACAGTAACAACCAAATACCAGTGAGATGGACAAAAGCCCTCTCATGTACACAGTGCTGAGAGAAGAGAGGAGATGAAGAGTAGCAAAGCTAACTTTACCTTAACAGATATTGTAATATTTAGTGTCTTTCCTTGAAGGCTCAGCTTCTGGAACCTAGTAGATATGTCAAAAACTCATCTTTCATTTTAAGAGAAAGATGTGTTCCTAGACTTCAGATCACTGAGAGTTAAAACACAAATCCAGCACTAATTTTATTTTTAAATGCCACCTTTGCATCTAACTTCCCATGGTTTTTCACATAATGAAGCCATTTGCATGTCTAACACTGACAGTGTGACCATAGATTCATACCTGGTTCTGTCCCACACTGCTAGAAAACATCAATGTGGGATAAAAAATTTTTTTGGAGAGGTGGAAGGAGAATTTTCCTAGGAAAACTTAAATGTAACATGAGGAAGTGAAGTGCTAAGGACAGAAGAGAGTAGAGTTGCATGCCTTCCCTAAAATGTTTTGTTCTTTAGATTCCCTTGTGGGTTTTGATATGCTGGGAGGGAAAGCAGCACAGTGCAAGAGCTGCTCTGACACAGCCTGCAATTGCTATAGGTTACCTACGGATCTGTCAGCAGGGAATCTCTGAGCTGTACTCAGAATTGATGAATTCAGTTTTCTAAGGAAGGAAGAGAAGTAACTTAAAGAAGAGAACTTAAAAGGGATTAGCTTTTCTTGTAGGACAGCATGAGTCTAACTCCCTCTATAACAAACTAACCCTTTCTGAAATTTCAGGGGGTTCTGTCTTGTACATCCTTTTTTGCTTGTTTGTTTTATTCAGTCCTGAACCAAGCATGTGGTTCAGAAGATCGACAAGACTAGAAAATCTCACACTTATAGGTCACTAGCTCAAATCGAGTTCATACAGATGTGGCTGAAAAATTATGCTATCCTTGTGATCTGAGAGTTAAAATGGGAACTTTGCAGGCAGTTTCTCTTAGAAAGGAGAGATACTCAGGAATCTCTGAACTGTATTTTTTTTAAAAGTTTGTTGCCTGCAGAAGAAAACAGTCAAACATCAGCAGATTGTTTCTTCACTGTATTGTTCCTTAGCTTATGCACTTATATCACAGCACCTGGAAGAGCTCTTGTGCCTGTTTCCTATCACCTGTGGTTTTACTTTTCGTTTTTCTGGATACACATAAGTCTTGAAAAGCAGTAAAAGTAACCAGCCAGTTTGAGCCCCATGTGAGCTTTTGGGTTTGGCAAGATGTGGGCCTTCATTAAGGATGGAAGTTGATATTATTTCAGTTATCTGGTTACATAAACAAGCTTCGTAGCATCATACAATGTTCTAAAAGAAGTATATTTTGCTTGTTCCCATCCTTTGCTCAGAGTTTTAGCCCAGCTCATCCCTGTAAGCTCGTGATGTACAGAGTTTGCTGTGGTGAGAACAGGTAGCTGCATAGTAATAGCTACATAAACAACATAAAGAAAGATAAATAGTTTGTCAGAGTTTGTATCTGCCCTAGGAATATTTGCTAGGTGTTTGCTACAAGATCAGAATTTAGACCCTGCAGTTACCAGATGCAGAGTTTCTTACAGGTATAAACAAACACAGGATACTATTTTTAATACTGGAAATGGGAATAATAAGACAGCTGAGAGAGAGTAGAAGCCAAACATGAATTCATGGTTGAACACATACACTGTCTTAGACTGAACAAAGCTGAAAGATCATCTGCAGACCTGAAGTTCTCTGATTCTCTTTGGGACAGAGGCCTCGATTCTTTTCTGCTGATTACTGCAATGCAAATAGTTCGTTTTCTCTCGTATATCCAAAAGGTTTCAGCAAATATCTCAGGTTTTCAAACAGGCACACACATTCACAGCACTGACAGAGGTGGATCTCAGTGCATCCTGTCCTGAGTGCTCCGATATGTTTAAAGAAGTGTGGGTCTTTGGCTATTAACCAGCCTTCTCTCCAGATAATGAATTTCCTCGCTTCAGCCAGGAGATGGCTCTGTCCGGGAGAGCCAGGAACCACGAGCTGTTAGTGGAGTGTTTGCAGCCGCTCCAGTGCAGTAGTAGCACATCTGGAGGCCTTTGAGGCTTTTCCTAGTAGTGTTACCTACCAGAAAATCACAAAATCTCTGACTCTCGTTCAGTATAGTTAACAAAAAGCTTTTCTCCCCCTTTTCCCCTCCCCCCCATCTATCCTTCACCTGCAGTATTGCTTTCAGGACAAATTGAATATCAGAGATATCTGCTTATCACTTCAGTTTCTCAAGTTCTGAGTGCTTGAAATTTAAATCTAATGCCAATATCTTTGTACTCTACACTAAACAAAGACTAAGAAAGAAACAAATACCCAGTTTTCCCATCAACAGCATCTTAAATTTGCTAAAGCAAACACTCCCAGTGCCAGCAGTGGCTGACACAAAGGCTGGGTGTGTGCAGGTCTGGCAGTGCAATAGCTTATGTGGTGCTGCTCCCTGCTGAGCATCTCTGCCCTTGTGTCCAGGGGTCTGGGGAAGGCAGGTTTAGGAAGACCATGGCTTGCAGCCTGTGGGTATTATGTCCAGATAATATTAGAAGTGAACAGATTATTTTTTTCCCTATACCCAGGTGTATAGTTTCACAGGCCTTACAGGAACTTCTGATCTCAGAATGATTATTAGATTTTAAATTTATTTAACAATAACCATTTTTTTTTATAATTAAGAAATAACGTGTAGCAGAGATTTGATCCTTTTCCTTGTGCAGAATTGATTAAGGAAAGATTGTTCCCTTTTAGTCACACCTAAACAACTAATTTGACCTGGATTTTTTAAAAAAGTAAAGCTCTGTTCTTTAAGTGTACTGTTCCTAATTCAAGCAGATGTATGCTAATAAAAATTACATTTATTTGAAGGTTCATTTGGGGATAGTAATAAATGTTTGATACTTTTGGGGTTTTGTTGGCTGAATTAAATATGATATGCTAAATATAGAACTGTCTGTCTTTAAGGGGATTCCTGTCCATAATGCCATCAGTTCTGATAATCCCTTATCCTTCTGCTCAGATTCCTGAGTGGGTCATTTAGTTAGGAAACTACTCCATCATAGTACCCTTTTACCCATATATATATATATAATTTTTTTTCATTTTGATTAGGGGAAGCCATTGGCATTTTAACATCCCACTAATAAAAAATACTGCTCTTTCTGATTTATGGAATTCTGTTCTTGTTCAGCTCTGCTGCTACATACCAGAACCTGTTAGCTATATTTGAAGAGCTGACAACTGTATGAACTTCGTAAGATGTGGAGACACGCTGGGTGCAGGCAGATGTGAGCTCACTCAGCCCATGAGCCAAGCAATGCAGACCTGCACCAGCTCTGTGCCGGAAGCCACAGAGCCGCATTAGCGTGGCTTTGCTCCCAAGCCTGTATGTGAAGAGCTGTTGTGGCTCCATGGCTTCCGGACCGGTCTTGGCAGTTCAGGCTGAAGACAGAGAGTGTCCACGTTGCCTGGGTAGACGTACACTAAATAACTTCTGTGCAGCCGAATATTCTTTGAGAGTTTAGGGTTTAGTTATGCTGTGAGACAGGCCAGGGGCTTGGGAAAATTGTGCTGTGCACTGTTTTGCTTGCTGTTAGCTGAAGATGAAACTGATAATACACCACAGACTGGAATTTGTCTGTTTTACTACTTAAGTTTACAGTTTGCTAGGGATGAAAAATTTGACCTGAACACTCAGAGGCCGGAACTGAATTTCACAATCTGAAATTTCTACCATGAATATGAATCTGTGACTGATCTAGCCAACATAATGTCCATTCATAAGGGAGATACAAATCTCTACAAGGTTATGAAATGTATCTTTTTAAAAAATTATTTATCATTAATTTTAAACCAAAAAGCTAGCTAAAATTCATTCACACAAAAGTACTGGTTTGGTATGAATGACACTATGTTCAGTGGTATTTCTTCTAATCCTTTCCTGGAACTGAAAATTGAATGGGAAAGGATAGACAATATGAACTTCTGGTCAGTTTTGGTTTGGTTCTTCTCTGCTATGTATGAGTTAAACTATTCTCTCTAGTCCTTCTTTGCTAAATATCAGTCACTGTTGCTATGTTTAGGCAGTGGCCAAGCTGGGCTCTGGGGCTTAATGAAGTGCAATAGAAAAATAGTGGCACTCAGGAACAGGACTACCCAGCAGAAGACAGTGAACATTCTGTTGGGTTAGTGTGGGAAAATCTGGGAATACTTGAATGGTAACATAAAGCATGTATATCATCCCATTTCTGAATCACCTGTTGTGTGTATCACTGTAATAGAAATAACAACAGTAATAAATTTCAGCCTGGTGAGAACAAGGTGTTAGCCCTTTCCTAGATATGTTTTCTGCAGTTTTACCGTGGAGAACGTTCATGTAGAGAGGAGAGTTTTAAGGAGA